CCAGGACACAGCTTTCCCTCCCTGGAGCCCAGAAGTCGAAAGGGACAGGGATCATTTCCTTCCTTTTCCCCATAAGCTCCTGAATCTGAGGTACACCATGGGACATCCGGCAGGAAGGAGAAATTCCTCACCCAAGGGAAACCAGAGGCAGCCCTGGGAGTGCCTGGAGGGGTAGGGGACAGTGCCGTGGTTCTTTGAGGGATCAACTGGAGGAGACAGCATCAGGAATGGCGTGGAGGCCGGTGGCAAGCCGCAGGGAGGAGGCAGGGCTGGGAGAGCACCAGAGGTGGCAGGGCCTGGTGCCAGGCTTTCCTGACCAGGGCACACCAGTGAAAGACTCAGAGTGAGAGGGATGTGTGCATGAGCCTGTGCAAGTCACCAAGAGCCTGGGGTGGGCATGGGAGGGACATTGGGCTCCTGCCTCCCAGCGCTGCCTGCCTGGACCAGTCTGGCCAAATGCAACTGGCAGCTGGTTCCTGCTGGATCAGGGCCCCTCTGCACACCAAATGGGTGCTCACCATCCAAGAACCTATTGAAGGTCTCACACAGGTGGGAAATGGCAAAGCAAACTCATCGGGGGACAGCTGCAGGGGTGGGGCTGACGGTGCTGCCAGCTGCCATCCGCCCCTGCTCCGAGCACTCTTCCTGGGATGGTTTTTAGCCTCCCAACAACCTCTTGTGGTTATCCCCACTTCACAGGGCAGGCTGTAGCAGAAGAGCTAAGGAACTTGCCCAAAGTCCCAGGGTGGGGTCCATGCCATAGAACCTGGGCCGTAACTGTGAAGACACCCGGAAAGTCATTCTGACTCCTTCTTTCCCTGACCTGTCCCTCATTGGCCACCAACTCTGGGCTTTGGCTCTCTCATGGCTCCTCCTTCCATTTCTGTGTCCCCCTGACCCTAGGGCAGCCCCTCCCCTCCTTGTTTTGTGGTGTCCTCCTTCCATTTTGCCTCCTGAGATCTCTCGGATCCTTCCAGGCTTTGCTGAAATCTCCCCACCTTTGGATCCAGCATGCTCTCTCATGTCTCTATGGCACTTTTGCTGACATCTGATTTGTAAAAAGTTTTCTTTTTATGAAATTTAAAATATTTATTTTCCTCTAGTGCATTAGTTTTGACTCCTAAGCTTAACGAATGCAGGGTTTAACAACCAGTTTTTTAAGGAACACAGAAAAAATACTTAAGTCTTGCTTAACTGCAGAACCAGGGTAATGAAAAAAAAACAACCAGTAATCCTTAGAAAAGGAAACTGCATCACTATGGTGTAACAAAACTATCATATTCACTGTTAACTGTTTTTTTTTTTTTTTTTTTTTTTTTTGAGACAGTCTTGCTCTGCCGCCCAGCCTGGAGTGCAGTGGCGCAATCTCCACTCACTGCAAGCTCCGCCTCCCAGGTTGAAGCGATTCTCCTGCCTCAGCCTCCCTAGTAGCTGGGATTACAGGCACCCGCAACCACGCCCGGCTAATTTATTTTTGTATTTTTAGTAGGGATGGGGTTTCACCATGTTGGCCAGGCTAGTCTCGAACTCCTGACCTCAGGTGATCTGCCCACCTCAGCCTCCGAAAATGCTGTGATTACAGGTATGACCCACCACGCCTGGCCAACTTTCTCTTTCTACCAAAGCAGATTCTTACTCCTTTATTCATAACTACTGATACCAGTTAGATATAAATCCTTCTAGATGTTTTCCTACATATATAGATTTTTTTGTTGTAAAATATACATACCATGTATCCTTTTAACCACTTGTAAGTGTACAGTTCCATGGCATTAAGCACAGTCACGCTGTTGTGCAATGACCACTTCTTTTTACAGGCCTGACTTTCTCGATAGACTGTAAGCTCCCTGCGGTCAGAGAGCCCACAATGGCCCTTGGTGTACAGCAGGTGGTAAGTGTGATGGCAGAGGGAAGAGTGACTGGTGGGTGGCATGGGCTGAGGAAGATACATCACTCTGAAGGGTGCAGTGGGCAGCAGTGCCGGGTCTTAAAAGACTCGGTTGGCTTCAGGTGGTATCCTTTTTTTTTTTTTTTTTTTTTTTTTGAGAGGGAGTTTCGCTCTTATTGCCCAGGCTGGAGTGCAATGGTGGGATCCTGGCTCACCACAACCTCTGCCTCCCGGGTTCAAGCAATTCTCCTGCCTCAGCCTCCTGAGTAGCTAGGATTACAGGCACCTGCCACCACGCGTGGCTAATTTTTGTATTTTTAGTAGAGATGGGGTTTTGCCACACTGGTCTGGAACACTTGACCTCAGGTGATACGCCTGCCTCCGCCTCCCAAAGTGCTGGGATTAAAGGTATAAGCCACCGCGCCCAGCCTTCAGGGGGTATCTCAAAGGAATTCCACAAATGAACTTGTGTAGAGGTTCACGGCTTTCAGAAAGGCATTCATTTTGTTTACCTCTCACAACTACGCTGAGAAGTACATACTGTCAGGCTACACTGCAGATGAAGAAATAGGTTCTAGAAGGGCAAGCACCCATTTAAGGTCTCACACAGGTGGAAAGGGCACAGCGAACTCAATCAAGGTCTCTGGATGCCAGATGCCTTTGGTACTTCCACCTCGCGTGCAGGAGGAAAAGAGCGAAATTTGACAACAGAAGAGACTGGAGATGGCCTCAGAGTGCTGGTCGGCCCCACTTTCTATCCCCCGTGGTGAGAGCTCATCTGGGCCCAGGGAACTTGTCCCGGGGAATGCCACCACGACATGTGTGACTCTGTCCCGCAGCGTGGAAGGCTTCGAAGGAGCCCGCCACCATGCAGTGGACCTCACCGTGTGTCAAGCCCTGTGCTGAAATCCCTGCAGTCGGAGCCAGTTCTTCCTGTTGCACAGACAGGTTCAGGGGCTTGCCTGACCGAACCCAGAGGCAGTGTGGCCGGCCTCCGCGCCTGAGGCTCTGGCTCACAGACCTGTGGCTGAAGCCGCTGCAGCCCAAGCACTCGTGCAGCTGACGCTCGCTTCACAGACGCTCGGGAGGCCGCGGGGCAGGGGGCCCTCAGGCAGAGACTGGGCCCCTGAAGGTGGAGGGACTGGGGGGGATATGGGGCAACGTGCCGGTCCAGAGGCTCCTGGGGGGTAGGGAGAGGCCAAATCTCGGAAAATGGGGCGCATCCCCCCTCAGCACCCCATTCTGCCTCATAGCCCTCCGTCCCTACCAGGCCCTCGGCTCGGTCACACCCCCGCGGGCCCCCCAGTTCTGCCCTCTCGGCTCGCCAGCCCCCCCAACTCCCAGCCTCGGGTTCCTCAGGTCCGCAGCGTCCCCTCTTGCTTCTCGGACCCCCGCATTGCACCCCCGCACCGTTTGGGTGCCCCCATGTGAGCCTGGTCTCGGCCTCCTTGCCTCCCCAGCCCTCTGATTCCATCCCTCCGGTTCCTCGGTCCCATTTCACCCCTGTGCGCCTTGGGCGCTCGCCTGACCCTCGTCCCAGCCCCGTCAGCCCTCTAATCCCGTCCCCCCGGCCGCCTCACCCCAGGTCTCCGCGGGCCTCAGCAGTCTCCTCGCCGCTCGGCGTCCAGCAAGCTGCTGCCGGTCGGCCCCGCCCACTTCCCGTCCCCGGCCGCTGCGGGCGCCGCGCAGGCGCAATCGGGACTCCAAGCTGGCGGGACCGGACCTCTGCTGCCCCCTGGCGGCTACGCGGACCGTGACCGCGGCCCTTTAGCGGTAGGCGAACTGCGGCTCCACTTGGGCTCCAGAGCCGCCCCAGTTACCGGCCTCTTGCTTCTCTTCTGCAGCTTTGGGTGGGCGGCTGGATGGGGAAAGCAATCCCTAGGTCACAGCGCCCAGAAATGAAGCAACTTGTGCCGTCAACAGCTGGTACGTGACAGAGCAGGGATGCAAACCCAGACTGCCCAGGCAGGCTCATCTGTCAGGGAAGGGGGCACAGTCCCCGGCCTATTGTGAGTTGTTTCCACAAACGTTGAGGCTTTTATCTTTCCATTCTGGAGGTCAGAAGTCCACTTAGTCCCAGTGGGTGAAGATCTATGAGTCGGCAGAATGCGTTCCTTTCTGAGGATTCTAGGAGAGAAACTGTTCCCCTGCCTTTTCCAGTTCCCAGGGGCTCCCCGCATACCTTGGCTCGGGCCCCTTCCTCCAGCCTGGAAGCCAGCAATGGCCAGTTGAGCCTTTCTCACACTGCCACCTCTGGTTCCCTCATCTGTTTCCTTTTGCTACTTCTAAAGACCCTCCAGATGCCACTGGGCCCACCCAGATAATCCAGGATCATCTCTCTACTTTAAATCAGTTGATCAGCAACCTTAATTCCCCTTTTCCCCGTAATTTTTTTTGGAGACAGAGTCTCACCCTGTCACCCAGGCTGTACTGCAGTGGCATGACCTCAGCTCACTGCAACCTCCGCCTCCTAGGTTCAAGCAATTCTCCTGCCTCAGCCTCCTGAGTAGCTGGGACTACAGGCGTGCGTCACCACACCTGGCTAAATTTTTTGTATTTTTAGTAGAGACAGGGTTTCACCATGTTGGTCAGGCTGGTCTCAAACTCCTGACCTCAAATGATCTGCCTGCCTCGACCTCCCAAAGTGCTGGGATTACAGGTGTGAGCCACTGTGCCTGGTCTGCCATGTAATCTAACACAGGCACAGGCATAGCACATGAACATCTCTGAAGGGTCATTCTTCTGCCAACACAGAGGCTCATGGAAATACTCTTTTTTTCTCTTTTTAGAGACAAGCTCCTTCTCTGATGCCCACACTGGAGTGCAGTGGCATGATCATAGCTCACTGCAGCCTCAAACTCCCGGGCTCAAGCAAGCCTCCCCTCCTGCCTCAGCCTTCCTAGTGTCTGGGACCACAGGCAAGCACCACCACGCCCAGCTGATTAAAAAATTTTTGTAGAGATGGGGTCTCACTATGTTGCCCAGGCTGGTCTTGAACTCTTGGGTTCAAGTGATTCTCCTGCCTCAGCCTCCCCAAGTGCTGGGATTATTGGTGTGAACCATCACACCTGGCCAAAATATTTTAAAGGCAGAAGAAAGAAACCTTTAAGTAAAAAAAAAAGTTTTAATATATATTAATATATTCATCTTTATACCAATGCAGTTGTAAAGTATAATTTTTTAAATGGAGGATGGGACGCCCAGATCTTCTGTGGCCCTGCCCACCTGGCCTTCAGGTCCACAGGCCTGTGTCCTTGCCAGGAATGAATGTCTCTGGGATGCTTCTCTAACAGGAGGAACCTGGAGTGAGACCAGGAACCTGGAGAACTAGCAGCTGGGTGATGGGAAAGGAAACCATCTGGGGTGGGGTTGGGTCTGCAAGGCAAGAGGTGTCTGGGCAGAGACAACAGGGCTGGGACGAAGAGTCCTGCCTCATCCCACTCTCCTGCTCACTCCTCCCTAGATCCCTGTCAGGGGAGTAACCATGAGCAAGGCTTGAGGCTACTTCTTATAAACGGTGGCCCTGGGCACATTCCTTAGCTCACCTGAGCCTCAGTTTCTTGATCAGAAAAAATGGGGACAATAGCAACCAACCTATCTCAGAGGGCTGTTGTGAGACCCTGGGCCACTGTTTTTCAAAACTGCCCCTGAGATCACCTACAACAGAATGGCTGTGGGGTGAAGTTTGAGAAGCGCAGCACAGGTGAGGTGGTGCGTAGGGCAGGCCCTCCCACACGGTAAAGTGCAGTAAAAGCTGATATTCCCGCAGGCATCCTCAGAGGAGGCATATTAGACTCTTGAGCACTGATTCCATTTGAGATCTGCGACTTAGAGAGGACAGCAAAGTGAGGCACCACCAGGAGCTTGTCCCTATGGGCCAAGGACGTGTCTGGAGATGACTCCTGCCTTGTGGTGCTGTCAATGCCTCACTGTCCGCATTCCATCACGCCTCAGCTCCTGGCTTCCACCCTGGTGAAAGGAATCTTTCAATATCACCCACCCAGCCACAGATGCTTCTCTGCTTCTCTGGCAAGGCTGCACCCCTGGCTAGGTGGGCAGGGCCAGGGGCTCCTTGAGCCAGTCTGCAGCCACTGACCTCTCCAGCCTCCAGGGCAGAGGTACAGTCCCATGGAGCGTGGCTGATCTGAAGGCAGTTCTGGCCTAAAAGGGGCCTTGTCCCTTTCTTGTCCTTATTGCTCTCAAGGCCATGTTGGCAGCAGTAGCAGCGGGGTTGGATGCTACCGGATGGGAGAAGGTGAATGGACTCGGAGTGCAAAATCAAGCTGCGGACGCCAAGGGCCTTGGAGGGTCATGTACAAGGGACAACTGCAGAGGAAAATAAAGGAACACTTTGTGATTAGCCCTGCCTCTGGCTGAAATCGCAGTGCAGAAGCATAGTAAGGAAGGACTGGGTGGTCTGGGTTTAAGGCCTAAGAACTGTCTCCGCTCCTGTAAGCCTGCATTAGCCCTGTAACCTAAGGGTCCTGGAGGTCCTAAAACCTTCTGCAGAGAAGGCTCCAGGTCCACTGGGCCTTGTGGGTGGAAGAGCAGAGTCACAGCCCTGCACTGGGACGTAACAGGTGTGGCCTTGCTAGGGCCCCAGAATCGGACCAGAGTGGGTGGGAGGGGGCAGAAGCTCCGAGAGCACCCCCTTCTTCCTGAAGCCTGTACCTGTCAGACACCTCCCAGGACCCATTATGTGGTTCCCCATGTCTCTGCATATTTTCATTCAGCTTCGAGTAGCTCTCCAAACTGCGTTCCAGGGAACCCCCGTGTTAACCTGTGAGGGCCTCCAGGAAGGGGGTCCAGGTGGGGCATGCTGGGCGGGCTCTGGGTTTCTTTACAGGAGCTCTCATAGACGTCCTGGTGTGGCCTGGGAATCTACTACTGAGTTGGGGGGCGGTCTGAGTCCGAAACATTCCTGACCTGCCCCTCAAAGAAAGGTCCCACTGAACAGTCTGGAACGCTGTTTTGCTGAGCTCCTGTCACCACTCAATGAGGCACAGATGGAGTGTGGAGGGAGTTTCCAACACACAGTGGACCCCGCACAGGTGTCTCTCCTCGGGTGGTTGGGGAGGGGAGCACAAGAAGGCACTGAGGTCAGAGCACAGCTGCCACCAGCACCTGGCACCACAGGGCAGTCTGGCCTACAGGGTATTTTCTAAACCTGGTATGTGAATGGGTTCCATGGGGCACCCAGCTGCCTCTAAGACAATAAGGGCTTGTTGTGAGAATAGGAATTGCAGTAGGCCCCAAGAAGCTGCCAGACGCACATGGGCACCATGTATAGGGCTTCTCAGAGACGAGAGCAGGGGATGGAGAAGTGTGGGATCAAGAGGGTGGCCCCGAGCAGGGGGCTGAAGCGAAGACCAAGGGGATTCATGAGCCAGATCCAGGGAGGGGGTCTCCCAGCCCCGCCTGCTCCACTAGACTCCTCTCCTGCCGGAGCCATGGCTGTCAAGGCCGCCTTCCTTAAGACATCAGGGCCACTGCTTGTGCACACAGCTACCATCAGCAGCACGGATTGAGACGGGGTGTGAGTGCAAACTGGGTCTACTCCCCAGGGTTCCAGGGTTGGGGCATCCCTGCCCGTACTGCTAGGGTGTAGAGATAGCAGGGAGCACTCGGGGCACATGTGTGCAGGCTGAAGGGAGACGTATTGGGTTTCGGAGAGGGAAAGAGGGCCCCACAGGTGCCCAGAGACACGGTAACCCTCTGACGTCACTGCACCAGCAAAGGGGCCCCAGCTCTGGAGAAGATAAAATGCATTTTAATAGTTTGAAGTGCCATGAAGTGTCTGCATGGCACTGTAGCCTGGGTGAGGGAGGACAGGGCCATCATACGAAGTAGGCGGCCAGGGCTGACATCTTGTCCTTGGGCCGTCTGGGGTTGGGCTTCCCAGGGGGCCTCCTGGCCCGGCCCCGCCCTCGACCCTGCCTTCTCCCTGGCCCGCCGCGGTGCATGGGGTGGCAGGAGGCCGCATGCTTCAGCTCCACCAGCTCCTGGAAGACGGGGTCACAGAAGACACAGCCCATGTGCTGCGTCTCGTCGCCCGGGAGTGGGGACTTGGCCTTGTTGAAGTCCACGTCAAGCAAGGCGGCCTCACAGACACTGCAGGTGTCGGCGGACACCCGCACGCGGTGGGCGTTCTCGAAGCAGTGCGCTACCACGCTGCACTTGTTGCAGGCCACCTTCCACTTGGGGCCCGAGGTGGGGTCCAGGACCAGCACGCCGCTCTCGCATTCCACGCACTGGCCGATGCCCAGCATGCTCAGCGAGTGCTGGCAGGAGGGGTGCGTACACTCGTTGCAGCCCATGCCTGGTGGGAGAGGGGAGCCCCGTAAAGGCATGCCCACTGTGCCCACCTGCCCTCTGCGGCCTGCTCCCAATGCCTCAAGCTCCTGGATCCTTTGTCCCAGCAGAAGGAACTCTTCTTGGCCTCGTTCATGCTTTGGCTCCTGGCTGCCAGTACCCCTGTTTTTTGCTTATCTGAAACCTTCTCAACTTTTAAGGCCCCTTGCTGGCGCCATCCCAGTGGGTTTCTGTCGACTCCATCCCCGCTTTGCTTTGCTGCCACAGCTCGTTACTGGTAATGCCACATGACCCTCGTGTCACTGGCCCACATGGGACTACCCTGTCAGCTGCTCTGGAGGCAGCAGGAGAGCGGGCATGGGGTCTCACTTTCCCAGAAGCATGGGTGCAGACTGAGGCCTGAGGGGGCTCTCTGCAGAGCACATGGTGAACGTGGGCAGACACTTCACTCCTGCTGGTTCCTGGTCCGGCTTGGCGCTTCTCTGTCCTGCCTGCCTGGACACATGCACTCCCTCCTCCAGTAATGAGGACGAGGATGAGGATGGAGGACAGTGGTGGATGCTGACTGGGGGTGTCTGCTCACCGGGTGGGTCCCCCGACTGTTCCATCCTTTTGCTCACTCAGCTCCAGAGGGAGCACTGCACACCTGTGCCCAGGTCCTGAGGGTGGACTAGGGTTGCCTGCTCAATTCTGACACAGAGAGGGTGTGGCAGCACTGCCTGAGGCCTGACCAGTGCCCCAGCTACATCCAGGGTCTCTCGTCTCAGTGCCAATGAGTGCAGGAAAGGCCAGGGTGAGGGGTCCCCTCAGAGTCCGTCCTGGTGCAAGGCAGGGGTTGGCACTGAACAGAGACTGCTGTTACCCATGGGCAGGAGGGAGCGGCCACACTCACCTTTCTTCATGTCTCGGAAGGGTGGGTGGTTGTAGCAGTAGGGGCACAGTGGGTAGCTCTTGCCCCGAGAGCCTGATGACCACAGGACCAGCTCGAAGTCATCCAGAGGGCAGCGGAGCTCCTTGTAGAGCTTGATGGTGCCATTCTGGGGCAGTGTGTAGGTCTCATCGCAGTGCGAGCAGTGCAGGCGGCTTGGCTTGGCCTGCGGCAATGCCAGGCAGGGGGCGTGAGGGTCACTGGGGCCACCACCTGGCCTCCACCCCCACTCCTCTCATAATACAAAATATGTAACCTGTCATGCAGAACCCGTGACACACTGCCAGGCGAGGAGCATGAGTCTCCGGCCCTTGCTCCATGCGTGCAGATAAAGGCAGTTCTAAAATCTCTGTGCGTACGTTAATGCCCATGATGGCAAGTGGCATGGTGTTCGGGAAAAACACACCACGTGTGTTTGCGTGGCCTAATGGCTGTGTGTTGTAGGGGACATGGGGACACTGGGTATTTTTTGGCAATGCTGCTTTATGCTCAATCATTCTTCTGTGACAACCAGGACAAAGAACATGATTCCTGCATGACCAGCGATAAAGCTGAGGCCTACAGGGGTGAGGAAGCTTGCCTGAGTTAGTGTTCCCTGCACCTACCTGGATGTACTTCATGAAGCGGTGGCACTTCCCACAGCGTGAGAGGGGCTTGCCTGTGGCCGCCAGCGGCGAGAAAGACACCTCCATTAACTCATCCATGCCTGCGGGCAAGCAGAGTGCAGGAGTCATCTCCCTCCCAGCCTCCAGCAGAAGGCTCCGAGTATGAAAGGGTCCCTATAGGTAGTGGTTTCTACTGCCCCGTGTGTCAGGGGCGCATGCTCCTGACCGTGTGTGGTGTTCCTGCACCTGCTCTTTCAACCCAGCCAGGAGGTGTCACTGCCCTCGCCTATGGAGCCCAGATCTGGGAGCTGGTCCCATGTGGGGACCTAGGTCCCCAGGTATTGGTAGCGCTGACAGAGACACCCCGCTGGTGAGGGGCAGGCCGGAGGCAGACTCTACCGGCAATGGAGTCGACAAAGTAGTGGAACTTCCTCTTGAACACGTCCAGGGTGTGGCCCAGGACCTGGCGGTAGTCGGCCTTGCCCTGGGCGATCAGGTTCAGCTGCTTCTCCACTGCACTGCGGATGGTGGGGAGCACCAGCTCTGCATCTGCAAGTGGGCAGGGGGCAGATGTTGCCCTGAGCACTCACACCCAGGGCCATGCCACCCCCTCCCAGGCAGGGCTACTGCCCTGTTCACCTCTCCCGCTCTGGCCCCTGCCCACCAGTCCACGGCCTCAGATGGTACCAGGCTGGCTCTTATGACCCCAGACCTTTCCTGATTTTCCACCTGGAAATCTCAGGCAGAGTGGCCAGGGACGTCCTGTGGCTAGAACCACATCACAAATGAGCTCCAGGCCGCCCTCGGGCCAGTTCTGTGTTCTTCCCTCTCCCCTCGGCCCCTGGGGAACCTCCAGGGAACAGGGCTGAGGCACCTTTGCCTCCCCTTTTGGTTCCCTCACACGTCTGTTCAGCCTTCAAACACACTGAGCTCCTGCCCTGGGCAGGTCCTGGGGGTCCTGGGGCAGCGCCCCTTCAGTGGGTATTGAGGGAGTGTGTGTGGGGCTGGGGGATCACTGCAGGGCAGGGGCCTGTCTGGAGCGGGCAGCAGAGCCGACGCCCAGGGAGAAGTCAGGGAGCTTCTGTGGGCCCTGGAGGCAGGACTGAGGAACTCACCAATCTTGTAGTAGCCGTGCACCAGGACGATGCCGAGGTTGGTGGGCTTGAGCCGGCGTCCGCTCTCCACGGTGACGTAGTTGCGCTGGCAGATGTTGTTGATATGCACAGGGATGCTGGCATCTGTGCCTGCAATGTACAGGGCCCCAGGGTTCCTGGCCTGCCTTGGACATGCCCCATTGAACCACGTGCTATAGCACCTGTCACGGGGCTGCTGGTGCTCAGGCCTTCTCACTGCTTCTGGGCCACAGGAGGGAGGGCTGTGCCCTGAGCACCCCCTGCACTGTGCTGGGCACCAACTGCATGCATTTCATGTTCTGCCTTGAGAACACAAAGGCAGCCCTCCCTGCACGGGGTGCCTACTCCTGCTTTGCGGCAGAGACGAGAGGCTCAGAGGTTAAGGAACTCTCCGAGGTCACAGCGCTTATTCTGTGCCTGGTAAATGTGACTTCTATGGCTTCTCCTGCCTGGATCCTGTGGCACCCACCTGCTCCCGGAGCCAGAGCCCCATTCCACCAGAACACGGAGGTGCTTACAAGCTCACTGCAGAGCTGCCCTCCCCTAAACCTGGACAGTTCTTCCCACTTCCTGTTTCCCACCTCCTCCCTCTCTGCAATGCCTGTCACGATCCCCAGGGCAGGCTCCCAGTCCCCAGGATTCCACTCTCTCACCCAGAGAACTTTCCTGGCATAGGGGCGCAGCAGAGGCTGAGGCGTTCTGACTATGGCAGGTGCCAGTCAGAGGGGCTGAAAGGAGGCTCAGGCTCCCCACAAGCTCACCAGCATGGGCAGGTGACACACACCTTCCCAAAGTAGCTCAGAGAGAATCTCACATGGGAAGAAACTGGCCTTCAGGGGCTAGGGAGCCTGCTGAGGGCCCATGGCTCTTGGCACGAGGCCAGTTCTGCACCCGGTGTGGCAGGCTGTGGGTGGTGTGTGCCGCTACCACCCCAAGTCTGCCAGGCGCCATGACGCGTGGTGTGGGCTCCTCTGCAGTGGCTCTGGTCAGGCCCTTTTTACACACTCCTGGGGGCTCAGTCACAGGGCCACCCTCACCACTCTCCTGTTGCGAAGGTTAACACCAGAGCCCTCTTCACTGTCACAAAATTGTATTGCTGATTGGGTCTGGCTCACTGGCTAGCACAGGGCTGCCAGGAGCCAGTGTCCCATCAATGGGAGAGGGCAGAGGACGCAGGGGAGCAGAGCCCACACTCCACAGTGGGCTGAGGGCTATTTCAGGACCCTGGCAAGTGTCCTGGACCAGAGAGGAGCAAGTCCAGAGCTCTGCTCTCCTGCCAAGGTCGCCATGGTCACCAGGACCCCAGCCTGGGGAGAGACACTCCCTGAGAGTCCACCTGCTGGAGCAGAGCCTGGACACAGTGGCTGTGACATCCCACAGGCCTCCAGAGTCTGTCAGCCAGGGCAGTGCCACAGGGAACAGGCAGTGCCCAGCAGTGCGAGCACCACCTGGGGAGAAGGCTCCGGCAGTGAGGCTGGCCCCCAGCATGTGAGACATCACTCACAGCCCCAGGCCTGGGGACTTGTGAGGCCACCTCTCCTATGAGGAGTGTGCACTAGTGACTACACTTTTGCTTTGATAAACTCCCCTGGGCTGCCCGTTTTTGCATGGAAACTTCCTGGTCACCCTTTGGGGAGCCCTGTCCCTGGGACAGGCATTTCTGTTCTCTCCCAGGGAAGCAGCTCCTGTTGGATCTCATTTCCCTGTCACCTGATTTCAGGACAGACCAGGTTGGCTGTGTGGACTCAGGAGACTGCCAATATGATTTCTATGAGTCACTTGGCATCTGGGCCAGTCTTCAGCCTTGTGGGCGTTAGTCGGCGTGTGCACATCCCACAGTGCACGAGGGCACATCTGGGCCTTCACAGGGAAGGCCAGGTCCTGAATGCAGGCCTCGGGAGGGGATGCCAGCTGTGGACCTGCCTGGCTGGCCACACACTGGGTCACCAGTTTCCAGACACCAGCCTGTGGACGGGTGCTGGGCTGGGCACACAGGGGTGGCGGGGCAGCTTTGTAAGAAGACTCGAAGCCTGAGTACTGCAGACGGAGCCGGCTCTGGGGCCTGGACAGGCACACCCACCGATGCCATGCTTCTCCATGAGCGTGATGAGCTCAGCCTCTGTCAGGTAGTCGGGCGGGCTCGTCTGCTTCTCCAGCATCTTGACCTCACCCACAGGGAAGGTGTCGCCCCGCTGGCAAGTGGGCAGGTTCTCCTCCAAGGGCACGCTCTGCCAGGGCATGATCTCCGTGAAGCCTGGAGAGACATGCGCCGCCACTCAGGGTCCCCAGCCTGGGTGGCCCGGGCCTCAGACCCTGGGCTTCCCATCCCCAGACACGATGTAGAATGTTTGTTTTGTCTGCCCGTGAAGGCGGGGAGGAAAGCTGGGCCCACGGTGTGACCTGGGGAGAGGACGGTCTTCCCGGAGCAGGTGAAGAGCTCGGGCCCGATCCTGAAGGAGATGGTGCTCTGCAGGTACTTGCAGTCATGGCTGACCGTGGCAATGAAGTGTCTGGTGATGTACTCATAGAGCCGCCATGCGTCACCCCCTGCAATAGGCCAGGGCTAGTCAGTTGGGAGCCAGCTGGGGGCTCTGGCCGTGAGGAGCCCCCAGTACTCTTGCTCGAGCAGTGAGGTCCTGCTTACAGAGCCGCTGTGTGGGACACACTGCAAATCCCGGGGAAGGAGGAAAGAAAATGTGCAGGAAGGCCGGGCGCGGTGGCTCATGCCTGTAATCCCAGCACTCTGGGAGGCTAAGGTGGATGGATCACTTGAGGTCAGGAGTTTGAGATCAGTCTGGCCAACATGATGAAACCCCATCTCTACTAAAAATACAAAGAAATTAGCTGGGTGTGGTGGTGGGAGCCTGTAATCCCAGCTACTCAGGGGGCTGAGGCAGGGCGAACTGCTTGAACCTGGGAGGCAGAAGTTGCAGTGAGCCGAGATCGGGCCACTGCACTCCAGCCTGGGTGACAGAGCAAGACTCTGTCTCAAAAAAAGAAAAAAAAAAAAGAAAGAAAACGCAGAGGAAGGGAACACAAGCCTCCATACCTCAGTGGTTCCTTTCTGGCTGCAGCTCCCACCACCCTGCCTGACCTCCTGCCCCGGCTTCTGGCGGAACTGCTCTTCAGGCATTGGCCTGTCCTTCCACTGTCTCGTGACATGACACCATCGCTTCAAACTCAGACTGTCCGCAAGTGGCCCGTCTCTACCTGCACTGCTTTTCCTTCCTCATTTGCCTTCTCCTGGCACTCGGACCACGGGTACCACCTTAGGCCAGCTGGGAGGTAGGAGGTGCACCACACCCTCCCCAACGCCACCACTCTCTGCCTTGGTTTCATTCATGTCCCCCGTGGTGTCTGCCCCCTCGCCTCCCTGCAACAGCACCTGCTGCCACCTCTTCACTCCTGTCCTGGCCCCACATTAATGGAGTTCATCTTCCAGGTGGCCCCCCATCCCCACAGCCAGGGCAGGCAGAGGCTAAAGGTGCCCCCACATTGCCAACAGGGCCTGCAACCTTCACTGTCGCAGGTCGCCTTTCCCTCCCTGGAAGCACGCCGCGTATGGGTGAGAGCGGTACCTAATTCGGCCTCTGTGGCAGACTTCATGGGGGTGATGGGGGGATGGTCGCCAGCGTCGTGGCCTTTCCGCGGGCGGTTGATACCTTCTGCTAACAACCGCTTCACCTGAGGGAGACAAGGCAGAGCAGAGTCTGTGGCAGGGCTCGGCTGCCTGCCTAGGTTTGGCTGAAGTACCAGACCTGGTCCCAAGGCCTCAGTGACACAGACACATGCCGGGGCCGGCCTGGCTCCACTCACCGTGTCGGCCCAGTAGGGGTGGTTGGCTTGCTGCCGCAGAGAGCCCTTCAGGTCAAAGTTCTCAGGGTAGTGGGTGGTCTCTGTCCGTGGGTAGCTGATGTAGCCTTGTGTGTAGAGCCGCTCGGCTGTCTGCATGGCGTGCTGCGGCCCCATGCCTGTGAGAGACAGGAGGCTCTCAGAGGGCCAGGTACGTGGGGACGGCCAGGTGCCTGCCCTGGCCTATGCACTATGGCCTATGGACACAGTGGCTGTGACATCCCACAGGCCTCCAGAGTCCGTCAGCCAGGGCAGTGCCACAGGGAACAGGCAGTGCCCAGCAGCGCGAGCACCACCTGGGGAGAAGGCTCCAGCAGTGAGGCTGGCCCCCAGCATGTGAGACATCACTCACAGCCCCAGGCCTGAAGACTTGTGAGGCCACCTCTCCTATGAGGAGTGTGCACTGGTGACTATACTTTTGCTTTGATAAACTCCCCTGGGCTGCCCGTTTTTGCCATTTGGGCTCCCCCATTGTGGCCGGCCCCTCCTGGAGGGCGAGGGTGGCTCTGAGCAGGCATGGCTGGAGTGCAGAACTGCTGGCCGGGTGGACACCTGTGCCACACAGCCTTGTCTGAGGCTGAATCCTACACCCAGGATGGGCCTGATGGGAAACGCTGCTCACTCTACCCCACAGTGCATCCTCACGGGGCTCATGGCCATGGGGATGAGACATTGCCTTCAGAGCACCACTCCCTATGCACTGGCCATAACCATGCCTCAGGGCTGGCTGATGACAGAGCTCCATGCAGCCCCATTTTGAGCCCTTGGGCATTTTTGTCCTCACAGCACTTTGGGGCCATTGAGAGGGGCTCATCCTGCTACTCCCTGACCGGCAGACGCTGGCGCTTAGCTAGCAACCACTCCCAGCATTGCTGCCCTCTGAGGACGCTGGAGCCACCACTCTGAGAGGACACTGCCAATAGTTCCCTGCGGGGGGAGGCACCAATGCCTAGGGGCTGACAGCTGCCAGAGACCACCGGCTTTCCAGACACCCTCCTTGCTACTAAGGAGAAAAGGCTGAGGAGATGAGGCTGAGGGGCAATGTTCACACCAGTTCCTTGAAGGTGACATCTGGCTGGAGCCTCTCCGCTCACCAGGGATAGCTGCTCAGGGACTCGGGATGTCCCCTCAGGTGGTGACCAACTTTACCACCTTTACAACCTAAGGAGAAGTGAAATCCTCATGAGGTTCAGATCCCCTCGAAGCCTCGGGCACCACGCTGCATCCCTGGGTGCTCGCTGCTCCAGGCTGAACCTGCCTCCATGAACCTGCCTCAAGATGCCTTCTGGCGACTTGAGAGAAATGTTCCTACATACCCAGAGAAGAGCTGGCCACACGCAGCATCTCCACGGTGTTCAGGGCCAGGGGCCTCTGCTTGGCCTTTTCTTTCCTGCTTGTGGCCTCCACCTGGAAGACAGGACAGTCAATGATTTGGAGGAGGATGAAGACACCACCATAGAGGGAATCAAGACGTGTAGACGAAGGGTCTGGTTTCATTCATTTGGTCTCCCTGTTTCTCCAACTCATCCTTCCTAACAGTCTAAAGACTTGATTATTTATTCAGGACCAGGAAGGGAAAAAGAATGAAAATTATTAAAAAAAAAAAAATTTTGGCTGGGTGCTCATGCCTGTAATCCCAGCACTTTGGGAGGCTGAGGCGGGTGAATCACCTGAGGTCAGGAGTTTGAGACCAGCCTGACTAAGATGGTGAAACTCCGTCTCTACTAAAAATACAAAAATTAACTGGGCATGGTGGAATGTGCCTGTAATCCAAGCTACTCGTGAGGCTGAGGCAGGAGAATTGCTTGAACCCAGGAGGTGAAGGTTGCAGTGAGCTGAGACCACACTATTGTACTCCAGCCTGGGTGACAGACCAAAACTCCATCCCAAAACAAACAAACCTTTTTTTTTTTTTTTTTTTTTTTTAAGAGACAGGGTCCTGCTCTGTCACCCAGGCTGGAGTGCAGTGGCACCATCAGCGCTTACTGTAGCCTTGAACTCCTAGGTCAAGCAATCCTCCTGCCTCAGCCTCCTGAGTAGCTGAAACCACAGGCACACACCATCATGTCTGACCAATTTTTGTTTTTTCAATTTCTTGTACAGACAGGGTCTTGCTATGTTGTCTAGCCTAGTCTTTTTTTTTTTTTTTGAGACAGAGTCTCGCTCTGTCGCCCAGGCTGGAGTGCAGTGGCCGGATCTCAGCTCACTGCAAGCTCCGCCTCCCGGGTTTACGCCATTCTCCTGCCTCAGCCTCCCGAGTAGCTGGGATTACAGGCGCCCGCCATCTCGCCCGGCTAGTTTTTTGTATTTTTTTAGTAGAGACGGGGTTTCACTGGGTTAGCCAGGATGGTCTCGATCTCCTGACCTGGTGATCCGCTCGTCTCGGCCTCCCAAAGTGCTGGGATTACAGGCTTGAGCCACCGTGCCCGGCCAGGCTAGTCTTAAATAAACTCCTGGCCTCAAGTAATCCTCTCGCCTCAGCTTCTCAAAGTGCTAGATTACAGGCATGTGCCACCATGTCCGGCTACTTTTTAAATTATTTTTTTAGAGACAGAGTCTCCCTGTGTCGTCCAGTCTGGTCTCAAACTCCTGGCCACAAGTGATTGAATATTCTTTTCTGGAGAATTTTCTAGTGAAAGAGAAAACCTGGAAGATTGAGGAGTCAGAAGGGCTGCAGATGGAAATCCTACAGAAGCCGGCATCAGCCAAGCTACAGGGATGGCAAGTGGGGCCCGTCCCAGGGGAAGTGCCACTTCTTGCTGTGGGGAAGGCTGCTGCCTGCACCTGCTAGTACTGCTACCTCTTCTGCTTTTTCAAGAGAAGCTGGAAGGCAGAATTTTAGTATGAAATCTCATAATTTTTAAGTGCTGGTAACTATTCGGGAATTTGTGTAAACACCATACAGGTTAGTGGAGTGTATCCGTGAGCTGTGCTTGGTTGGGGTCCTACCACTCTCTACCTCTGCTGAACACTTGTTGGAAGAGACAACTCTTTGTTTTGCCTGTGGCAAAAACAATCCAAACAACTCAACCCCAGGCCTTTGCCCTTGTCGATCCCAAGTAGGCTGGTCATGGCAATGCCTTCTGCATTCCAGACCGACAGATGTGGGTGGTAACACAGAGGCCAGTTGTTACGTGCAGCAGTGAAGCTGGGCTCCCTGGCGTGAGGCCTGGAGGTGGTAACAGTGTCTCTGCAGGAATGTGATCAATGCTGACAGCCTGGAGCAGCTTTAGAAGTCTCAGATGCCTAAGACAATGGCATGGCGGGCAACAGGGCACTCAAGGAACGCCAGAGAAGGACAATGAGAAGGTGGCTAAGGAGGCCAGGCTGTGTTTCGATGGATCTGGTAGCTGTCACACCTGTAGCATGTTTACTTCAATAGCCACAGATGTGGCCCCACCCGTGCAGCCTGGTCACCTCGCCCTTTTTCTAACAGCCAAGCAGCATATCCTTTCAATTCATGGAAACCCTGAGTAAGAAACATAATCCCATAAAAGCACGCAAGCTGATTGAAATTGGAATCCCAAGCCTATATCCCCTGCTAGCTGTGACCTTGGACAAGTTCATCAATTTGCTCGTAGGTCCCTCAACAGTTGTTAACTTGAATCTCTGTGTGAGATGGAGTCCTGCCACACAGAGGTAATGCTTAGTGGGTCACGCGGAAGGGGGAGAGTGGAAGGGGTCTGACAAGGTCACAGGCATGGACAGTGCTTGGTATGGAGTGGGCATGCAGTACACTGTGGCTATTGCATTGGGCAGAAATATCTTAGGAGTATATGGGGAGTAACCTTTCGGCTTTCCAAAAAGATGTCTGTGTTTTAGAAAGGGGGAGGAAGACATGGCCTAGGATCACAGGCTGTTCGTCCAGCGGGAGGCATCCAAGGGCCACCCTCACCCAAGGCAACTGTGGTAGGTGTGGGTGGAACAGGCGCACCTGGGCTTCCTTCTCCAGCTTTGTCATGTTTAAAAACATCTGTGCGATCTCCCGGTCAAACACTCTTACTCGGTCCCAGTCCAAAAGGAGAGATCTGTCTTTGTCAGTGTTAACCTGCGGGAAAAAGCATAAAGGGTGAATGCACAAGAAAAAGTCTCCAGGTGAGCCCAATGCCAGGAAGAACCAGGACAGATGAACCTGTTCCTTGTCTGGGAGCAAAACAGCCCTGGCTCTAATGGCTCACAGCTGCACCTGTTCAGGCGGGCAGATACGCAAGCTGACATCTGGCCCTCTCAACCCCGTGCCCTGAAACCAGGCAGTCAGTCTCAGGAAGGTAGCCCGAAGCTGAAGCTGATGTGTCCTTAAGAAGCATAAGAGCCCCTACTTCTCACACCACCCCTGTCTATCCCCAGTGCCTGGCCAGTGGTAGGTATGGCCACCACCGGGGTCCCAAGCCCCGTGTCAGCCAGAGCAGCTCCAAGACAGGGTCTCACTGTGTTGCTAGGCTGGAGTGCAGTGGCACAATAGTAGCTTACTGTAGCCTTGGACTCCTGGCCTCAAGCAATCCTTCTGCCTCAACCTCCCAGGCTGTTGGGATTACAGATATCAGTGACTGTGCCTAGCTGTATTAAGTCTTACAGTGAGCTTCTGTTGAGGTTTTTATTTGAAGAAAGGGTTCCAGGAATTTTAAAAAGTTTGAAAGTCAATGGCCTCAGTCCAGTGCTTGGACCTGACCACTGCAGCCACTGATTCATGTGGGGTGACCTCACCCTGCACTGCCAGAGCTGAACTCGTTCCCACTTATCCAGATTCAGCACATACAGGCCCAGTCTCTTCCCACTGTCCCCATGAAGGCTGGGGTCCCTCAGCCCTGGGCACCAGACCACTTCCAGGTATAGCTGTCCACACTTCTGCCCTCAGCCTGGGGCCTGCCGGCTGATGATGATGGAAGACTCTCAGAATCCGTGCCCCAAACCCAGAAAGCCCCAGCATGCATAGAGAAAGGCAAGGAACCTTGGCCTGCAGCACCCAGTAGGTCTCTGGTTTGAAGGACTGGATTTTATCATGTCTCTCCACGCAGAATCCCAGGGTTGGAGTCTGACACGGCCCAAAGGAGATGAGAGAGCTGTCTAAATCACCGTATTTCCCCTGGAAATATTTAGTCTGAAACCTGGAGTGAGTAGAGAGAAAGATACTTTGGTCACTGATTCACTCAAGACACTATTATGGCCACCCATGTGAGTCCAGCCCAAGGCCAGGGGTGGTGTGTGAGGGAGGTGGCACCAGGTGGTGTCCCCGCTTAGAAGCCAGTGGGGGCAGAGTGGGCATAGCCTTAGGGAGGATTCATGTGTGACAGAGCCAGTGAGAGAGTAGACAGGTTTCTACTGTCTCGGGTCAGGGAGCCTTCTATTCTATTCTATCTACCGCACACTCTCCTCAGGACCCCCAAAGCACGGACAAACACACTTTATCGAGCAGGGAATAGGTGATCTCTGTCAGCTAAATAAACAGTTTTCTTTAGGTCTTTTTAGTTTTTGTAGAGACAGGGTCTTGCTGTGTTGCCTAGCAGGAATGCATTAATGGGGATTCACAGATCATTGCAGCCTTGAACTCCTGGGCTCAAGTGATCCTCCCACCTCAGCCTCCCAAGTAACTGGGACTACAGGCTCACGCCACCACACCCAGCTAATTAAAACAAAATGTTTGGACAGGCACAGTGGCTTATACCTGTAATCCCAGCACTTTGGGAGGCTGAGGCAAGTGGATCACCTGAGGTCAGGAGTTTGAGACCAGCCTGGCCAACATGGTGAAACCCCATCTCTACTGAAAGTATAAAAATTAGCCAGGAGTGGTGGCGCATGCCTGTAATCCCAGCTAGTCGGGAGGCTGAGGCATGAGAATCACTTGAACTCAGGAGGCAGAGGTCGCAGTGAGCCGAGATTGTGCCACTGCACTCCAGCCTGGGTGACAGAGTGAGACTCTGTCTCAAAAAAACAAACAAACAAAAAAATAAATTTTTGTTTAGCCTGGGCGCAGTGGCTCCCATCTGTAATTCCAGCACTTTGGGAGGCCAAGGTGGGCGGATTGCTTGAGCTCAGGAGTTTGAGACCAGCCTGGGCAATACAGTGAAACCCTGTCTCTACAAAATACACAAAAATTAGCCAGGCATAGTGCTGCACACCTGTAGCACCTGTAGTGGAAGGCTCAGGTAGGAGGATCTCTTGAGCCTGGGAGGCAGAGGTTGCAGTGAGCTGAGATTGTGCCACTACATTCCAGCCTAGGCAACAGAGCAAGACTCTGTCTCAAAAAAATAATTTTCTTTTTTTGTAGAGATGGGGTCTTGTTATGCTGCCCAGGCTGGTCTCAAACTGCCAACTTCAAGCAATCCTCCCATCCTGGCCTCTCAAAGTGCAGGGATTACAGGTGTGAGCCACTGTGCCCGGCCTTCTTCAGGGTTGGTGAAATCCCCTGTTGCTCATCCTGGCTCTGGGAGGCCTAGGGGCCCCCGAGGGGGACCAGTAGAGGCAAGTCTCTGGCTGAGGGAGAGTGAGGGTGTGCCCAGGACTTCGCGGGTGTGGCCAGCACCTGGTGAATGCACAGCCGATTCGCAGGTCCAGTTCCTGGCGAGCATCCACTGAGAGCGCCTCGTTGTGGTCAGGCTCGCCCAGGCAGGCCATGGCATTACAGATGTCTGTGTCTGTGATGGAGCTAAACCTGGCCCGGAACACGGTCTTCTCACCACCATAGGCCTTGTTCATGACGGGCAGAACAGCATCAAGAACCTGGGGGTGGGGAGTGGCCAGCTGTGACCCACCTCCCAGATCCCTGCCACAGCTCCCCACACCACTGTGAAGCCTGGTTCCTTCCAGGAAAGAACACGTGTGCTCAGCCCCGTCTCCTGCCCCTGCCAGACCCTCCTCTATCCCCCTGGCTTTCCAGAAGCCCTAGGCACTCCATACCACCCCGCCACATGGCTTCCTTTACTCCCATCTAGAAACATATTCAAACACTCCCTTCTTACTCCCGCCCTCTCTCTTCTAATCCTCTGCTTTCATCCCCACCAAATCAGGAAACGTTACTGCCAAGTACATGAGGGACCTCTTAGTCCCCAGACCCATCCCACATGACCCGATTCCTTGCCTTCTAGGAGGGAGGGCTTGGAGGGGTGGGTGGAAATTTTAAGAGGCTGAAGAAAAGACAGGGAAGGAGAAAAGAATGAAGGGGAAAGGAAATGGGCAAGAGCAGGAAGGCCACGGGTGGTCCCAGCGTGTGGTGGGGGCAGCTCGGGCTAAAGCACAGCAGGGGTCCTGGAGCCGAGACTCACTAGGAAGGCCGTGCAGTGGGACTAGGGTCGCCGCCGGAGCCTGGCCACGCAGCTTCCTTACTGGGAATAAGTGGCTTCATTTCTGAAGGGAGAAAGCCCCATGAGCTGCCCCCATTCTCCACTCCCAGATGCAAAGGCCCCCAGGGAGGAGCCGCCCTGCAGGGGAGGAGGGAATCTGGGAAGAGACAGAGTGTGATCGCATTTGCTGAGGGTGCTGTACTGCAACGCCAGGTGCCTGAGCTCTGTCTCACTGACCAGCTCTTGAGCCACAGGCGAGAGCTGGGGGTACAGGAGCACAGGGGCGATCCATAGGGAACAACAGCCTGAAGGGCACCAAGTGAGACCAGCAGGCATGGCCACTGTGAGGGCACCATGGCCAGGGCAAGCATGGGGCACAGGGTGTGCACAGGGAGCTGCCACCTGCTTCTCTGCAGGGCTCCCGGGGTTGGCTGGAGGCGGGAGGCATCCTGGGTAGGGCAGGAGATGAGCAGAGCGAGGCCTGCAAAAGGAGCTCAGTGCTGAGGTCGGGAATCAGCCAGCATCAACCCAAGGTCCCTGAGAAGTCACGCTGGGCACAGGATGCTGAACACCAAGCTGCCCCATGACAGTCCCATTCTGAAACCTGCATCCACCCAATTTCGCCCCTCCTATGTTCACTCATACTGTGTCGCCCCAGCAAGCAGAGGCACAACTGACCACCTTTAATACAGCCTATGCAGTTAAAAATATCTATGGAATTTCAAAATAAAGGGAGGGGAGAGGTGTTTTTAAACCAGTACAGTTTACTCCCTCCTTTGGCCCCAGGAGTGGTGTGACTGCTGGTGTCAGTCTGGGGCTGGCGTCAGAAACGCCAAAAGCGAGGACCAAACTGAGCCTCATACTCACCTCAAAGCAGATGTTCTCCCCCTCCTTGTCACAGTCCAGCCACAGCACGATGTAGTCGCAGCCTCTGCCCTCCACCTGCCACACAGCACACGTTCACATGCACCTGCTGCAGACCCAGCCCGTGCCACCTGCCCCGTGCTCCCATCCAGGACAGGGCTTGGTCCCAGGCCCTGAACCTCAGCTAGGAGGACTGGTACCTGGGTTGGGTAAGGAGCTGGCTGTGGTGAGGCTGGCTCAGCCAACAGAAAACAATTGAGTTTATAATTGATGTTTTTTGGACCAAAAAAAAAAAAAAAAAAGTGTAAGTGCAACATGATCTTAAGCCCCAAAACTGCCCAGAAAAAGGGTTCCAATGAAATAACCCTAAATGATAACAGCAGTTGTCTTGGGTAATATGATTATGAATAATTTTTTTGTCTTTCTACTTATCTGTACTTTCTAATTTTCCATAATCTGTATGCATTTGTTTTAAAATTAAGGGGAAAAAACTCCCAGCCAAACAAGCTATTTTTTTTTTTTTTTTTTTTTTTTTGAGACGGAGTCTCGCTCTGTCGCTTAGGCTGGAGTGCAGTGGCGCGATCTCGGTTCACTGCAAGCTCCGCCTCCCTGGGTCATGCCATTCTCCTGCCTCAGCCTCCCGAGTAGCTGGGACTACAGGCGCCCGCCACCACACCTGGCTAATTTTTTGTATTTTTAGTGGAGACAGGGTTTCACCGTGTTAGCCAGGATGGTCTCGATCTCCTGACCTCATGATCCGCCCGCCTCGGCCTCCCAAAGTGCTGGAATTACAGGCGTGAGCCACTGCGCCCGGCCCAAACAAGCTATTTTAAAAGCAGAAGGCCTGCTCTCCAGGACTGAGGGTTGGCAATGGCAACTGCCTTGTGTGTTGGGGGTGCCTGCAGGTGCCTCATGGGCCAGCAGGGGGCACTCACAGAAAGAGCTAGCAAAGGCCCCCCTGTCCAAGGGGGATTAGGACTCAAGCAAGGGTGGGCAAGGACAGCTGTGAAGGGTGGGGAGCCCGGGTGTGCTCATGCCCAGGCCAGCCCCACGCACCTGCAGGAACTTCACCATGTTCAGCTTGGGGTTAGCTTCTTTCTTCTCCGTGGGAGCTTGGCTGAACAGTTCTGCGGGGTCCACTTTGTCCCATTTGTTGTATTTTCCTACAAACCAGTCACAGTGACATTGAGTCACACCTCACAGTTCACAGGGGCTTGGTCTCTGAGACCATTATAACCCCAGGACGATGTTGGTTTCATCCCACAAATGAGGAGGGGAAAGCTTGGAGAACAATTTGCCCAGGGTCATCATGATGATCAGAGGCAGAGCCAGGATGTGGGTTCAGGCCTTTGGTAACCCCCTTCCCTCCAGCCTCCTTTCTGCTTGGCTGCTGAGCTGACACCACACTCTGGCCAACCACAGGAGCCAAGCAAGCTCTCCGGGGGCTGCCGCTCTGGCCTCACTTCCGGGACTTTCCCTGTGGCTGGGAGCGTCATTCCTGGGGCTCTCTTTGCCTGAGCACTGGACCCCACCACTGGTGTCTTCATTGACACTTCCAATCTGAGTTTCTGGAACTCCATCCTTCCACCCAGCACTCTGTGGGGGCACACATGTGCGCAGCCATTCCTGTTAAAGGACCCATTTTTTGAGCCTCATGCCCAGCACATTCACCTACTCATCTACAGAGGCCCAGTTCTTGTGTGCTCAGCTGTCTGGCTTTCTTTTAGGCCCCATTTCTTTTTTTTTCTGAGACAGGGGTCTCGCTCTGTCATCCAGGATGAAGTACAGTGATACAATCATGGCTAACTGCAGTCTCGACCTCCCAGCCTCAATCCATCTTCCCACCTCAGCCTCCCAAGACTACAGGTGTGCACCACCATGCCGGCTGATTTAAAAAGATTTTTTTTTTTTTGGTAGAGACAGGGGTCTCACTATGTTGTCCAGACTGGTCTTGAACTCCTGGGCTCAAGCGATCCTCCTAGGCCCCATTTCTTGCATCCTGGGAGAATGGGGTCAGACAGAGCCAAATTCAAATCCCAGCTCCCCACCTGCCAGCTGGAGATAAAACTTGGGGTCCAAATGCTCAGCCACACAACTCAGTCACCATCATTGTCATCACTGTCATCAATGAGCAGCAAGGACAAGGGCCGAGGCTTTGCTGTGTGCTCTGCCGAGTGCCGAGTGCTCTGCCCTCACTGTCACACTGAATCCTTACAGTCTTGGGAAGCAGATGGCATTGCTGTGAGACCCATTTCACTATGAGAAGTGTAAACTCACAGAGGCTGTCAGTGCCCTCGTCTCCAGCCAGTGAGCCGGCAGAGCAGGGGGAAGAGCCTGGATCAGACTCTTGCCAACCACACGGCCCTACACCTACACCCAGCAGGTCACTAACACCAGCACTTCCAAGGTAACTGATAACAGTAACAATATAGGAATGACAACGACAGCCACCAAATGACCGACAGACGATGGTCAACTCAGCAACAGCAGCAGGCTTCTCTCAAATGCCTGCACAGGTCAAGCCCTTCCTAAGATAGGTGCCGCCACTTTGTCTACATAGGACGGTGCACAGGGAATGCAGTAACTAGGGGGTGCTGCTATGATGGGGACCCAGGGCTGAGCTCCAGAGCCTGGGTTCTGGGCACCACACCCAGGAACCCTCTCATCACCACTCCATGATCTGCTGGCCTGATGACTCATGGAGTTGGGACAAACTTCCCTGCCTAGAGGAATCTCCTGGCTTCAACTGGACCCTGGCCAGTGCCACGCAGAACTCCCTTCTGTAGGATGGAGGGTAGAGGGGCTTACCCAGGAAATCCAGGGTCATCACATGACCACAGACAGACGTCATCTTGAAGCGCACTGGCTGGCCAGCAAAGGTCCCAGTGTACTCGTGGACTGAACAGGCCCCATTCAGCCCTTTATGTGAGGACAGGCTCCCTGGGGATGAGGAAGCACAAAGTGACTGGCTGCTTCAGCTGAGCTGAAGACACTGTGGAGACCCTGGCCTGGACGCCACCTCCCAGAGGGCCAGAGTCCTTCCTCAGAGTGGTGAGTGACAGCATTCCGCAGACCGCTGAGGGTAATCGGGCACTAAGAGATGGGACGGCACTCAGGGAAAACAGCATCTGCCAACAACCTAGCACAGAGCACTCTCGATGCAGAGCCCTAGGCTGCCAGGAGCCAGGGGCAGGCGGGCAGGGGTGGGCTCTTTCTTTGTATTTATGTTTTCACTCTTCAATTCCATTTTTGCCTTACTTCATTGAAACGTTATTCATCATTTACTAAAATGGGACTCTAGATCTACTCTAGGTTACCAGAGACCTTCTAATTATTGAATTCTCACCCTCTCCACTGACCACACTCAGCCGTACTTTCTCAGGTTCTGGGCACCGGGCACCACTTTTGGGGCCTCCTGTCCTCTGCGGACCATGCCTTCTCAGCTGAACGAGGGTCTCTTCCCCCTTCAACTGCTGGACCCAGGGGAGGTCAGGTAGGTGCCTGTCATTTCTGGGTACCCAGCATCCAAAACTCTTCCTATTTGGAGGGAATTCAAAGATGGGGGGAAACAGTACCCTACCAACCACCCCAGTGGCCAGAGTTGGGGGTGAGTGGCAGACATTCCCTCTCCAGCTCCCTGGTGTCTCAGTAGTGTCTGTGGCCACAGCTCAGTCCATTGGCTACTCTGGAGTGACGTGAGGTCCACAGGACAGTGGGAGTATCCAGGGGTGACAATGCCTGGGGCACAGCCTCATCAGACCTCAACTGGGGTGTGGTCCTGGCTGTGTCTCCTTCCTTCCAGGACTGGTTTCTGCTACCTGTACCTAACAGCCCTGCCAGGCCTGGCATGTGGACAATGACTGTCCTTCCACTTCATTGTAAGCTGTGCCTTGTGCCTTCTGGGAACCCCAGCTTTGGCACACTGCCAGGAATGGAAGCAAATGCACCCCACTGTGACATACTGAGATGCTTCATTACCACCTGCTGACCGAACCAATCTACCCCAGCCAGGGTGGAGTCACATTAGGAAAAAGAAATGTCCTGTAACACATAAACGGCCATGCTTACAGACCAAAGCAAGAAAGCATGCGCAGGGCTGGTCTCTCCTACCTCTAGAGAGGATTTTGGCAATTGACTGTGCCAAGGACGGCTTTTCGGCAACCATGAGCACAGTCTTCATCTTGTCTCAGCCCTTTACGCTCCAGTTTCGGGGCACTGGCAGTGAAAAAGTTTAGACTCCACTCTTCTGCAGCATAGCACTATTATCAATGCTGACCCCTAAAGAGAAGAAAAGACACTCAGGATAGCAATGCTGTCAAAAGAACGTATACCACTACAAGGAAACTCACTTTAACAAAGAAAAAACAAGACCAACCTGAGGCAAGAAGAAGAAAAATTAGGGAATTAGGGACACTTGAAGACATCTGAGATTAAAAAAACACAAACAAAAACAAAAACAAAACTACCAGGTCAACTGAAGTGGCTGAGATGATCCTGGGAATCTGGCTCCTTAGGTCCATTTGATTCCTAAATCCACGCTAGGAAGATGCCGGGACCTGGGGATCTCCAGTGATGGGTCAGGCCAGGTGGATGCCTGGCCCTCCTCTCTGGACTGGCTCTTCCACCTACAGGTGGACTCACCTGGAGAGAGGAACCATCATGGCCGAGAGCAGCACCACCCCCTCAGCTAAGCACTTGGATGCCCCGGGACACTTTACAAAATGCAGATGTCCAGGCTGGGCTCCCCAGGTCCTTCTGATCCATGATGGGCCTGAGACCCTCTGGCTAGTCGGTCCAGCACCAAGCAGACATCAGGGCTCTGTCACATCTCTCTCCCACCTATTCCACTCCACCTTTTGCTTTGCAGGCCATGCTCTGGCCAGATTAAATCAAATATCATCATCTAAGCAAACACTCACTTGAAGCCTCTGTGCCTGCGCTCCCCTGCCTGAGAGAAAGCTCCACCAGGCCTGGAGGGTGCAGCTGGACGGCCCACAGGCCCAGCTCAAGTCTCCCAACACCACCGGCAGGATAAGTCAGCCCTCCTGTGCTCACGGCTCTTGGGCTAGGTCACCATTCCAACCCACTCACATTATGCCATCATCAGCGACTACCTCACCCCTGAAATAGGACATGATGGGCTTTGTTCTGAATCACTGTTGGTCTTTGCAACAGCTTTCTGTGCCTGACACATGACATTCAATACCTGCTAGCCAAGTAAAAGAAAACCACATGAACCCTTTTTGTTTTTTCAATCATTATCAATGTAGCACTGATGTTTATAAACATAGCATTGTATTAAAAAAAGAAAAAAAGACTTGTATTGAGACAACTGGGAAACCTGCTGGGAAAAAAAATAAAGTTAGACTCCTGCTTCCCAACTCCCACTAAAACCGATTCCAGATCTAGCAAAGGTTTGAGCAGAAACAATGAAACCAGAAAAATATTAGGAAAAATATGTGCTTTTAAAATAAATCTCATGAGCCGGGTGTGGTAGCACACGCCTATAGTGTCAGCCACTCAGGAGGCTGAGGCAAGAGGATCGCTTGCTTGAGGCCAGGAGTTCAAGGCTGTTGTGTGCCATGACTACACCTGCAGATAGAACAGCCACTTCACTGCAGACTAGGCGACAGCAAGACCCTGTCTCAAAAAAAATAAAAGCAAAATAAAATAATCTCAGCATGAAGAAAACAACCACCTAGATGGGCACGGTGGCTCACGCCTGTAATCCCGGCACTTTGGGAGGCCGAGGCGGGCAGATCACTTGAAGTCAGGAATTTCAAACCAGCCTGGCCAACATGGCAAAACCCCGTCTCTAATAAAAATACAAAAATTAGCCAGGTGTGGTGGTGGGTGCCTGTAATCCCAGCTACTTGAGAGGCTGAGGCATGAGAATTGCTTGAACTCAGGAAGCGGAGGTTGCAGTGAGCCGAGAACATGCCATTGCACTCCAGCCTGTGCAGTAGAGTGAGACTCCATCTCCAAAAAAAAAAGAAAAAAAAAAAAAAACAACCACCACGTAAATACCTTTGTGGTATCACATCATGTCCAACAACACTCACGGAAGAAACTCAGAACTATAATGAGCTTGTGTTTATCATATAGGGAGAGACTCAAAGTCGTTGCACACACAGCAGACGAGGGTGTGGGGAAGTTAAATGGAAACAACCTCTATGTGTAGCAATTCAGCGATCCCTCTCAAAGTACAAGTGCGCATCCCAGCAATTCCACTCCTCGGAATGAACGTTAGTCCAGTTATTTATTGAGCACCTACTACATGCTTGGCCTAGTCCAGGATGCAGGGAACACAGCACAAAGCAACATCAGGTCCTGCCCTCCCAGAACACGTGCTGTAGTATGGGAGCAGGGGAGGGACAGGGCAGGGCTGGGTGACACCTAGGAGAAGAGTCCAGGCAGGAGCAGGGAAGGTGAGGTCCTTGGGGAGGAGATGGTTAGGCACAGCGGCTCGTGGGGCTGAGGGAGGGAGCAGGGGTGTAGAATGTGGGTCTGCTCTAGGGTGCTGGGAGGCAGCAGAGGGTTTGCATAGGTGTGGGATAATCTGACTTCAAGTGTTAAAGGGACGTCTCTGGCTGCCACATAGAAGAGGATGACTGGGCCCTGGGTAGCAGTGGTGGAGGCTGCGAGGGAAGTCAGAGTCTAGGCAGACCTAGGATGGGAGGGACATGGGAGAGGGAGGGGAAGGTGAGTCAAGAATGATCTGAGGCAGGGGCTGGGCATGGGCTCACATCTGTAATCCTAGTGCTTTGGGAGGCCAAGGCAAGAGGACCACTTGAGGCCAGGAGTTTGAGAAGAGCCTGGTTAACACAGTGAGACCTCGTCTTTACAAAAAAGCAAAAGGGACAATCCATGGCTTTGGCTTAGGCATGACAGGAAGGGACTGGCAGTCTGAAGTGAGACTTCAGGTGTGTTAAATGTGACCTGCCCATTGGACAGCCTGGGTGGCCTGGAGGAGGTGGCAGCAATGTGGAAGAAGCCTAGGCTGGGGGTCGGGAGATGAGGAGCTAGCAGGGTGAGTCAGGAGGGGTAGGGTCCCGAAAGCCACCGGAAAGAAACAGGAATTACAGAGGGGCCCGAGGTTGGCATGCTGACCCAGGGAGGGCAAGGGCTGTGAGACAAGTGGAGAGTGAAGTCACCCGGTGAGAGTCACAGGAGTCAGTGGTGGGCCCTGGCAAAACTGTCCATGTGGACTCTGAGTCCCCAGGAAGCAGGACAGGGCAGCGCTGGAGTGGACTCAGGCTGGGCATGGTGGTGCCTGTGATGAACCACATCACTGAGGAGTTCTCTGCAGCATTATCAATCATGATAAAAGATTAGAAACAAGCTGATGTCTGTCAACAGGGAGGTGGTTAAATAAAAGCATGGCATTCTCTGGCCGGGTGTGGTGGCTCACGCCTGTAATGCCAGCACTTTGCGAGGCCAAGGCAGGAGGATCACCAGGTCAGGAGATGGAGACCACCCTGACTAACAAGGTGAAACCCCATCTCTACTAAAAATACAAAAACTTAGCTGGGCTCGGTGACGGGCGCCTGTAGTCCCAGCTACTCGGGAGGCTGAGGCAGGAGAATGGCGTGAACCCGGGAGGTGGAGCTTGCAGTGAGCCAAGATTGCACCACTGCACTCCAGCCTGGGTGACTGAGTGAGACTCTGTCTCAAAAAAAAAAAAAAAAAAAAAAAAAAAAAAAGCATGGCATTCTCTACAGTGGAGCATCTGGCAGCATTAGAAAGGAAAGCATCTGCTTGGTACATACTAACGTGGATCAGATCACTGAGATAAACCATGCTAAGAAAGCTGGGCACGTAACGATGTGTAAAGAGCACTGTCATCTGTGATCACACATATGTGTGCACACGTGTGCATTTGATTATGAAGAGGCAATATGTCTGGATAGAACATAAAACAAACAGTCCAAGCAGTCACCTGGAGCGGGTGTTAGGGCCTGGAGGTCAGGGCTGGGGAGGCCTCCTCACCACATTCTCTTTTGTACCTTTTACATTTAGCACCTGGACACAAGTGACTGAGGAACAAGAACTAAGACAGGGTACTTTAAAATAAAATAAAACCAGAAGAATAAAGGAGGGTTGGAAAGGGCATTGTTCAGAAAGGATGCCAAAGGAACCTCCTTCACTAAAGGGGCTTCTGCTGCTCGTCATGCTGTGCGGGGGAAGAAGTCTGAGGTGGGCCTTGGGCTGTCAACCTTGTTCCCCACTTAAAAGATCACAGGACCACAGTGAAATCAGTAAGCTTGACCAGAAAGCTGCCCCAAATAAAATGACAATTTGCTTTTTTCCTCAAAATAAGTAAGTGGATGCTTCCCCTAAATACACAACCATTGCAGAGTGAAAGAGCTGAGGCCTTGTGGAATGATGGCACTGTCTGCAGATGCGCTCTCCAGCCCATGACAGCTCCAGCTGCATGTTCCACAGCTCTGCTGCGCACCCACCTTTCCTCCCCATGTGCCAGCAGGCTTCGGCCTAGGCCACTTTTCCCCCTTAGTCTACTTGCTCTGACCCCTGCCCCTCCCCCTCCTGAAGACTGCATCTGGCATCAGCCGTCTGTCTCTCCCACAATTGTCAGGTTCATTGCCATATTTCTGGCACCCAGCATGCATTAAATGCCTGCTGAGTGAATGAATGAACAACCAAGGTGGTTGTGACTGGCCTCTGCTCTCCGTTCTGGGGAAGTTTTGATTATACCAAAATCAGAGGCCCAGAAGTGAGGTTTAAAAGAGACCTAGGTACTCCCCTTCCCTCACCCTGGGAAGCCAGAGGCCAAAAGGGAAAACTCGCAGCAGAGGCGGATTGCTCTGTGAGGGTGTGAGTTTCCCATCTCTTCCAAAGTAGGAAGTTTTGTCTTAAAATGTTTCCTCAGATTTTCTCATGTCTATGCCACAGAGTAGCCAGCAATTATGTATGACATAACCAGGACACACCAGGGACCAGGCAGTCCTGCCAGCATCCTAGGCAGGGACTGTGGGGTCAGAGAGACCAGATCTCCAGTGGCTGGACTTGGTTGTTCTAGAACCCGTGCCCCAAGCCTGATCCTGCCCTGCCTCTGTGAGCATTCTGATGGAACAGCAGCCCAGCTATGCTTCCCTGTAGCACTCACCACTACACCTGGTACAGCCTCCATCTACTTATTTGGCTCGTCTTACAGCTTCTAAAATGTAAGTAAGCAGCACGAGAACAGGGGTTTTGCTTTCTTCATTCTCATGGTAAACAGACGGTGAGCAAATACTTTGGGAGGCTGAGGCAGGTGGATCACCTGAGGTCAGCAGTTCAAGACCAGCCTGGCCAACATGGTGAAGCCTGGTCTCTACTAAAAATGCAAAAATTAGCTGGGGGTGGTGGCGCGTGCCTATAATCCCAGCTACCCAGGTGGCTGAGGCAGGAGAATCACTTGAACCCAGGGGGCGGAGGTTGCAGTGAGCCGAGATGGCGCCACTGCACTCCAGCCTGGGCGACGGAGTGAGACTCGGTCTGAAACAAAACAAACACAAAAAAAGAAACAAGCAGATGTGGCTTGGGAGTAGGCCTAGCAGTGGTCTGAATAGCATTAAAATTCCTAGGATTTACCACCTCAGTAACTTTACAAATACTTTTAGAATCAGGAAAAGAGGGAAACAACCATTTATTTATTTATTTATTTTAGAGACGGAGTCTCGCTCTGTCGCCCAGGCTGGAGTGCAGTGGCGGGATCTCAGCTCACTGCAAGCTCCGCCTCCCGGGTTTACGCCATTCTCCTGCCTCAGCCTCCCGAGTAGCTGGGACTACAGGCGCCCAGCACCGCGCCTGGCTAATTTTTTGTATATTTTAGTAGAGACGGGGTTTCACCGTGTTAGCCAGGATGGTCTCGATCTCCTGACCTCGTGATCCGCCCGTCTCGGCCTCCCAAAGTGCTGGGATTACAAGCTTGAGCCACCGCGCCCGGCAACAACCATTTCTTAAGCTCCTCCTTTGTACTAGGCACACCATAGTTACAAACACTATTCAATCTTGCCAACAACCCCATAAGGCAGGTGTTGTAATTTTTTAAAACCGTGAGTAAATGGAGGTTCAGAACAATTCACACTAGTGTCAGGTGACCTTGGCAAAGGAATCCCAGGACTGGCTAGCCATCAAGACCAAGTTAGGCTGGCCTCTCAGGTCCTGTTTCCAAAGTTGAGAAGATAAAAAGGCAAGACGAGGAACATCTTACCTTTCACTTCTGCGAGAAATTATTTCCCCTGGATTCCAGCTAATTCGTTCACAAAAGTACCCCACTTCATTTTCAGATAACAGGTCAGAGAACCTGGGTGCCCTCAAAACCCAGCCAGGGCCTAGGGGGCGGCGAGTGGAAGCTGCCTGGGCGTGTACCGCACCAATCTGGGCCCCGGCGGCTGCAAAGCCTCCCTGAGCCTCAGTTTCCCTACCTGTGAGACTGGGACAGCAGACCTCACCTCAAATTGCTGTGGGAGGGTTCGGAAAACAAAAGTATTAACCACAGCGCCTGCTCCCTGCAGGCACAGGGCGGGCCCATCTCCACCTTCCTGAACCCCTACAGCAAGCCCCGCGGGAGAGGATCACCCCCGCCAAGGAAGAGGCAACAAGAATGCAGAGCCCGGCCCGGGCCCTCTCCCGAGCTCGCGGGTCCTCCGCCGGCCAACGTTGAGGAAACAAGCCAGAAAAAGGCCTGCGCTTCCCGCCTTTTTGAGCCGCCCAGCGAGGGGCCCACAGCCTGCCGCTCACCTGCAGCTACACCTCGCATCCTGCTCCGGTCCTTGCTCCCGGGGCGGCCACCGGCAACCCCTACTTCCGGGTCCAGCCGCTTCTGGCGTCCCCGCGTCCGGTGTGCCAGCGTCTGCCCTCCGGCTTCGGCGGGTCGGCGTTCTTAGGTTCCGTGGCTCACGGATTCCGGGAGCACCCCAGGAAGCGGCACTTCCACGCCGCGGACCGCAGGGGTCCCCAAGCCCTGCACCCAGATTCTTCCCCCCGACGGAGAGACAATCACGACAATTATCATTACAATGATTATGAAAACTGGCATGAAAACATCTATGCTGTTAATAATTAAAATAATAAAAATGTACCGATGTGTGTATAGCAAGCTTCTTTCGATGCTGTAAAAAAATCTGTGGAATGAATGAATGATCTGTGTAAAACATACCTGGAAGACGAATTCTAAAATTAAGTTATTTATTTATTTATTTATTTATTTATTTATTTATTTATTTTGAGACAGAGTTTTACTCTTGTTGCCCAGGCTGGAGTGCAGTGGTGTGATCTCGGCTCACTGCAACCTCCGCCTCCGGGGTTCAAGCAATTCGCCTGCCTCAGCCTCCTCAGTAGCTGGGATTACAGGCACACGTCACCACGCCCTGCTAATTGATATGTGTGTGTATATATGTGTGTGTGTGTGTATGTGTATGTGTGTGTGTGTGTATATATATATATATTTTTTTTTTTTTTTTTGAGGCGGAGTCTCGCTCTGTTGCCCAGGCTGGAGTGCAGTGGCGTCACTGCAACCTCTGCCTTATGGGTTCAAGGGATGATCCCGCCTAAGCCTCCTGAGTAGCTGGGACTACAGGTGTGTAGCTAATTTTTTGTATTTTTTTTTAGTATAGACGGGGCTTCACCGTGTTAGCCAGGATGGTCTCGATCTCCTGACCTCGTGATCTGCCCACCTTGGCCTCCCAAAGATTTTTATATTTTTAGTAGAGACAGGGTTTCACCATGTTAGCCAGGCTAGTCTTGAACTCCTGACCTTAGACTCGGCCTCCCAAAATGCTGGGATTACAGGTGTGACCCTTCACGCTCAGCCAAGTAATTTATTTGTTAGAGCATTAGGATTATGGAAGATTTAAAATAATTTAAAATAATTTTCATGATCTTATTTTAAATAACACACACACATTTCCACACATTTCCCTTGCTCCCTGTAGATTTTCCCAACCTGCCTTTTTTTTTTTTTTTTAAGACAGGGTCTCACTCTGTTGCCCAGGCTGGAGCGCAGTAGTGAGATCACAGCTCGCTGCAGCCTCAACCTCCTGGGGTCAGGCAATGCTCCCACCTCAGCCTCCCCCCAGCCAATTAATTAGGGGTTTTTTTGGTAGAGATGGGGTCTAGGGGGAGGGTCTCACTATGTTGCCCAGATTGGTCTCAAACTCCTGGCCTCAAATGATCCTCCTGCCTCGGCCTCCCAAAGTGCTGGGATTACAGGGGTGAGCCATCGTCCCGGGCCCCAACCTGCCTTTATGGGAATGCTCTGTGTAAAATATATCTGGAAGATGAATTCTAAAATTAAGTTATGTATTTATTTATTTTGATAAATAATAAGTAGCCCAGATAAAGGCTCTGGAAAAAGAAAAGTTCTATAGGCAAAATTAAGGTTTGGAAATGTCATAAATTATGAGTCACGGTGAGACTTAACTTTCTGTTTTTTTTGTTTTTGTTTTTTTTTTTTTTGAGACAAAGTCTGGCTCTGTCGCCCAGGCTGGAGTGCAGTGGCATGATCTCGGCTCACTACAACCTCTGCCTCCCGGGTTCACACCGTTCTCCTGCCTCAGCCTCCCGAGTAACTGGGACTACAGACGCCCGCCACCACGCCCGGCTAATTTTTTGTATTTTTAGTAGAAACGGGGTTTCACCGTGTTCGCCAGGATGGTCTCGATCTCCTGACCTTGTGATCCGCCCGCCTCGGCCTCCCAAAGTGCTGGGATTACAAGCATGAGCCACCGCGCCTGGCCGAGACTTAACTTTCAAAGCAGAACTCTTGATTCCAAACCCACACCTTGGTAGGTTCTCCGTCTCCAAAATGGCATGTCCATCTTCCTGGTTGCTCAGGCGCAGAACCTGGGAGCATCCTGGACCACCTGCGAATCCTGCCATCGCTGTCTTTACAATACAGATGCTCCTCAACTTCGGATGGAACTACATCCGCATAAACCCATCTCAAGTTGAAAATATTGTGAATTGAAAGTATGTTTTTGACTTCTGGTATTTTCAACTTACCATGGGCTTACCCAGATGTAGCCCCATCATGAGTCAAGAAGTGTGCAGAACACATATTGGTTTTGCAGTTGAAAAATCCTGTAGGTGGAAACTGTCCTAAATTGAAGACTGTCTGTAAGTCGGAGATCCCCTCAAGTCTCCCTGCCTCCTGCCACCACCCTGATCTGAGCTCCTCCTCTTCTTCCAGGTCTCCAACTTGCCGCCCTGCAGTGTGTTCTCCACATACCAGCCAGGGCTAAGATTGGCTCTGTTGGGTGCTACCAGTTGGCTGAAAGAGAAGCCCAGAGGCCCTCAGCTCATTCCATCAGTCCGGTTCCAGGGTTCATTCTGTGGAGCCGGAGGAAGGACCTGAGGCCTGGGCCAGCAGGAGGCGCTGAGTGGTTAGCTCTGAAGGCCTGGGTGTCAGGAAGCGTTCTTGGTCAGAGCAGAGAAACTGCAGGTGCCTTGTGCTTTCTTCCCGGAGAGCCCCATAGCCCCATGAAGTTTGAATAAAAGGGCAATGAAATCTGAGGAACAGGACATTGACTGGCTGTGTGCTGAAGCCATCCTTCTCCCCTGTCTGGGAGAGGGACTTCTGTCACTGTGCTGTCCCCAGAGGTGGGTGGAGTTTAAAAAGTCACAGAAGCCTAAGTCACAGAAGCCTAACCCACCAGAGCTTTGGGTCCGTCTTTCTCATGGACTCTTAGGTTGACAAATGACCCAGATTCGAGGAACCCTTTGACTTGAAGGTGTCTCCCTAGTGGGACTCCCCTCAACCCCAGCTCCACTCTGACCAGGGAGGTGGTGGCCTAGGATCGACTCAGCGGGAGGGGCCTTTCTTCTTTCCCCATGGCTGGGGAGAAACTGTGACTCCCCTAAAGGGCAGTGGCAGACTTGCATGCAGAGGCCTTCTTTAAGGAGTGTGGAGAGGCCATAAGAGAAACTCAGGCGCCCTGACCCCGCCATGGAACTTCAGGAAGCAGAGCCCTGGGGCGTTTCCACCATGGTCTCGACTTTTCTCTTCTTCCTCACCCTCCTCACTTACTGGGCAGGTGCCTGGTTATGGTGGATGGGATAACTGAGGGCTCCTGGGCCTCTCTTCTCTCTGGTTCGGCATAGGCTGGTCCATGATTTTGGTAATACTGTTAATAGTTAACATCCTGAAGTGCTTACTTACTCTGTTCTAGGCACATTTAATCCTCATTACAACACTAGCAATTAGATATTATTATTATCCTTATTTTACACATAAAGAAGCAGGACATATAGGCCAGGCGCGGTGGCTCACACCTCTAATCCCAGCACTTTGGGAGGCTGAGGCGGGCAGATCACCTGAGGCTGGGAGTTCGAGACCGGCCTGACCAACATGGAGAAACCCCGTCTTTACTAAAACTACAAAAATTAGCTGGGCATGGTGGCGCACATCTGTAGTAGTCCCAGCTACTCGGGAGGCTGAGGCAGGAGAATCGCTTGAACCCAGCAGGCGGAGGTTGCAGTGAGCCGAGATCGTGCCATTGCACTCCAGCCTGGGCAACAAGAGCAAAACTCCATCTCAAAAAAAAAAAAAAAAAAAGAAAGAAAGAAAGAAGCAGGACACAAAGATGGAAGTGGCAGAGCAACCTAGTTCCAGAAGTTACTTTAAAAAACTTTTTTTGACAGGGTCTCACTCTGTTGCCCAAAGTGCTGGGATTTATAGGCATGAGCTACCGTGCACAGCCTTAAAGATTACTTTTTTTTTTTTTTTTTTGAGAGGAGTCTTGCTCTGTTGCCAGGCTGGAGTGCAGGGACGGGATCTTGGCTCACTGCAACCTCCACCCCCAACTTCCCTGATCCTCCTGCCTCAGCCTCCCGAGTAGTTGGGACTACAGGTGCATACCACCATGCCCAGCTATTTCTTTTTGTGTGTGTGTATTTTTAGTAGAGATGGGTTTCACCGTGTGGGCCAGGATTGTCTCAATTTCTTGACCTTGTCATCCACCTGCCTTGGCCTCCCAAAGTGCTGGCATTACAGGCATGAGCCACTGCGCCTGGCCAAGATTACTTTTTGAAGTTTGAGTAAAAGGGCAATGAAATCTGAGGAACAGGACATTGACTGGCTGTGTGCTGAGGCCATCCTTCTCCCCTGTCTGGGAGAGGGACTTCTGTCACTGTGCTGTCCCCAGAGGTGGGTGGAGCTTAAAAAGTCACAGAAGCCTAAGTGATTTGCAGGGTATGTGGAGAAAGAGCTCTTGGCAACCTCTCCTATGACCTGAACTCAACATGTCTTTTTTTTTTCCCTTTGAGACGGAGTCTCGCTCTGTCACTCAGGCTGGAATGCAATGGCACGATCTCGGCTCACTGCAACCTCTGCCTGCCGGGTTCAAACAATTCTCCTGCCTCAGCCTCCTGAGTAGCTGGGACTACAGGTGTGCGCCACCACGCCTGGTTATTTATTTTTATTTTTAGTAGACATGGGGTTTCACCATCTTGGCCAGTCTGGTCTTGAACTCCTGACCTCGTGATCTGCCCACCTCAGCTTTCCAAAGTGCTGGGATTACAGGTGTGAGCCACCACGCCTGACATCAACATGTCTTTATACTCCTTTCTTCACAAAAGAAACAACTGAAGAACCACCAGAAGGTGCCAGCATATTCTGTGAACATCAGCAAAAAACCTACATAAATAAATGGTGGCAAAAGCGAATTATTTACACAGGAGAAGCTACCTCCCTGCCTCTCCTAAAATATTGAAGGATATCATAGTGATAAACACAAAGCCAATATCCATAATAAATTTTATTTTGCCCAGTGAAATAAAAGGCAAGTCAGATTACTGTTGGAATGATGAGTGGTGTTAATTTCAATTCTTTATAATATTTTCTTATTTTCAGAAGAAGTACTTGTAGTGGTAATTTTGGGATATGACTAAATGAATGTGCCTTTCATGTGGAAGAATAAACAAACAAGAATATTGGGCCAGGCACGATGGCTCATGCCTGTAATCCCAGCACTTTTGGAGGCCAAGGTGAGGGGATCACTTGAGGTCAGGAGTTTGAGACCAGCCTAACATAGTGAGACCCTGTCTACAAAAAATAAAAATAAAAAAAATTAGCTGGGCATGGCAGCACATGCTACTCAGGAGGCTGAAGTGAGAAGGTGGCTTGTTCCCAGGAGGTTGAGGCTGCAGTGAGCTATGATTGCACCACTGCACTCTAGCCTGGATGACAGAGTGAGACCTTGCCTTAAAAAAAAAAAAAAAAAAGTCAAGGAGGATGAGGAGAGAATGGGGAGATAAAAATGTTACCAGCTAGTACAAAGCCATAAGAGCCCAAGAAAGGCCCATGAGATAAATGGAAATGAGACAGAGAACATCTCAGAGCTCGCCACAATAACCATGCTGGAAAACATCTATCCACTCATATCTTCCTTTATTCTCATACTCATCCAATATTTTTTGGGTACCTACTGATTGCCAGGCATTGTGGATACCAGGGTGAATGAAACAGAAAAAAAATTCTGCTCTCTTGGGCCTTATTTTTTAGTTATCTGTGATAATTATCTCGGAAAATGCATATAAAACACACGGCACAGTGTATGACACTCAACAAAGTAGTGGCCACCACTATTTTGATAATCATGTTGGTTTCATGTTTGCAATGACCGAGAGTCAGGGGTTAACTGAAAGACCCATACACATATCCATTACTCAGATAACTTTCTATGTGCTCCAAGCTGACTTTGCCAAATAGTATGAGCAACACCCCTAATGCTGCAGGGTGCACAGTGTCTCTATAGTGATGGTGTGAGTAGTTTCTGGGGGTGCAGGTGCCACCTGCTTCCTTGGTTGTTTCTAGGGAGCTGGCACATGCTACCTTTGTGTGTGAAAGTGGCTGTGGTGCAGGCCGAGGCAGGAGGATGAGTTGTAAGCAGGGGATATCTGGGAAAGCAGTTCATCTGGCCCTGGCTCAGAGATCCCTACACACAACAGTCCTGCTTCTACAGGGCAATAGCGGACAACCCATTCTTTTCCTCTAATCCTACTGACATGTTTGGCTTTCTCCCTCCCTCCCTCCCTTCTTTTTCCACTCTTCCTCTTCTCTTTCCTGCATTTCCTTTCTTGACTGAGGCCTGCGCGGGGCTTGCTGGTGCACTGTGCATCTACTGCTTCTTCCTAGGGATCCCCTGGAGAGGACTGTCCACTCAACACCAAGATGGGGAAGGACTTACTGAAAAAGACCCACATGACCACCACTCTTCTAAAGATTTTCCAGGGATCATTTCCCTGAACCCTCCCACCAAGCCTCTCAGCCAGGTTCCTCTGACCACTCTACTTTGCTATGGGACCTCGGAAGAGTCCCTTCTTTTCCAAGAGGATTTACTAGATGCCAGGCACTATTATCAGCATGTAACCCTTCTGAACAAGTAACTTATTCAACATACACGTAATGGCGTGAGGTAAGGACTATGATTAACTTTGTGATTCAAAATTCTTAAATTCATAGACGAAGAAACTGAGGCACAAAATAGTGGATGCAAATCACAGTCAGCTCTCCTAACCCTGACTCAGAGGCTGAGTTTTATCCCTCAGCCTGGACTGCAGGAAACCTTCAAGCAAGCTCTCAAGTGGGTGCAGGAGGAGGAAGGTCTTATGATCTTAGGGAAATTTGGTACAGATACTTCCAGGAGCAAGCATCCTCCAATGTCTGACTAAAGAGCAATACTGAGTCAGGCAAGGAGAAAGTGAGCGGGCAGAGTAAGGAGGGAAGCAAGTCTGAGGTCATGGCAGCATCTGTGCCCTGACACTGCTGGAAAGACATGTCACCAGAAGGTACCTACAGGAAGCAATGGGATTTCATTCATCCAATCTGATCTTACACTCTGATAGTGACATGTGGAACAGCTGCAGTTTCATGCCTGCATGGCTGCATCGTAGAAAGGTGCATTGTGTGGATCAGAGGCTATTAGCCAGTTAGGGTTTGGGGAAGCATCTGATTTTTTTCAGCAGAGTAAGTAACGGCACAGTGCATTGAGCCCCCAGTGCATTTCTCTGTATCTCGATCTTCCTCTGTGCTTTTCTGTTCCTCTGCCTGGAGGTTTTGCCTCCACTCAGGTCTCTGCTCTAAAACAGACCTTGTGTGTACTTTATCGCAAACAGTTCCCTTTCCACCCCTCAGCAGTGGGCCCCACTCCCTTTGTCTCACCCTTTCCCAACCAGAAAACATGCCATTTACCTGCCAGCTTGCTTATCTGCATGGAGCCCATGCTCCACTAGGGTAGGGACTTTGAGTTATTTCTGCTGCATCCTCTGCCCTTGCAAAAGTACCTGTCACCTGGGAGGCACTTAGCAAGTACTTGTTACCTAAATAGACAATGTGAAAAATCACCATGCTCCATTCTCAGGCCACACTGCTGGAGATGACTGTATGGCTTCTGGGCTGGCCCTCTGAGCGTGATGCGGTACACAGAGGAAGGTGGGTGCACAAGGACCATGCTGTTCTGTAGGAATCCTATGAGGAATCTGCTGGGTACTATCACAACCTGGAGTCTGGGTAGTTTGGGAGGCACTGAGGTTGCTGCGAGATGGCTCATGAGAGCAGGCAAGCTCCCTCGCCTGGATGGAAGGAGGACTCAGCAAGCGAGGCACTGAGGACCCTTCCACTAAGTAAGGCTTTCTTACCCATCTCTGGTTCCAGGGGTTACATAGGTGGAACCAGGATGCCTACAGCAGAGCTTCAGCAAGGACAGGAAATAAACAGAAAGTGACAAGCGGGCTAGCAGAATGGACTGAAGGCTGTTCTGTAAACCTCTCCCACCCAGCAGTAATTCTTTGGCTTTCTTTGGGCCTGTGTGTCAGTTTGGTCCAGGCCTTTCTATGCAGCCCCTATACATATCTTGTTCACTCATAAGTTCCCGTGTCTGTCTTCTGTCTCCATCTACATCAGCCTTGACTGTATTCCACCTACATGGTGCTGGCGGCCTAGGCCTGTGAACCTCTGACCCGTCCTCTCCTGCCAGACTCAGGCCCAGTTCTCAGCCGCTGTTGTTGCTGGGCCCCTCCCAGGGTGCCTGACTCCAGATCTCTGCCACAGATTCAGGACTGGACTCAAAGGTCTCCTCTCTGAGGTACCTTCCCTGACCTGCTTTAGCAGCCACTCCTGATTCTTCTGACTTTGCCCTGTTGTAGGGACTTCCTAAATGGTTGTGACCCATGCTCTCCATGTATGCTCGGTCTGAGGACAGCAGCACCTGGCCCCAGCACGTGCTCGATGGTGATCAGCTGACTGATGGCCGCATGTTCTGGGTTTGGTGCCAGGCATGTGCTTCCTTCCAGTCTCCCAACAGCCCCCAGAGCTGTTCAGACTCCAGCTTACAGCTCATGTCCAAAGGTGGGGAAGTCAGCTAAGGACCCACTTCATTCTATCCAGAAGCGTAAGACAAAGAGAAACTGAATGAGTGGCCAGAAGAGGGAGTGTTTGCCAGGGAGGGCTGGACCTCTGGGGTCTCTGGTGACCTGGCGGTAGAGCCACCTGGATAATGTGTGGCTGGATAATGAACAGGTGAAACAGGCCAGGCTTTGCACTGGGAAAGGGGAGCAAGGGGAAAGAAGAAAGCACCAGACAGTTCCCATGGAAGTTTATTTTATGTTCCTTGCAAACAACATGCGGCCCCAGCTCTGATTCCAGCTGCCCTCTCTGACTTCTGTTCCCTGAGCCTGGCTCCTGCTCTTCATTCAAACTGCACCAGCTGCATAAGCAAGGGCAGTGGGGGGCTCCACTGCATGTCAGCCCGCTGCATGGCCTGCAGCTGCTTCTGTATCTCAGCCTGCAACTGGCACAGCTTGTCCTTGTTCACGGGACCCCAGGAGAGGCCATGCAGGTACATGCAGCAGTCGACTGGGATGGGATAGAGTACCTGCTTCAGCTCCGTCAGCCCCGTTGTGTGCTCCAGCAGGCTCAGGAGGCAGGCACTGGAGATGGGGTTGTCGGAGAGGCTCAGGGAACTGAGGTGGGAGCAGCGGCACAGGGTGGGCAGGAGGGCACTGAGGTGGGCATCCTTCAGCCGGCAGTGGTTCAGGTCTAACTGCTGCAGCGTCCCTGAGACCTCCCTCAGCAGGGTCCCCAAGGGCCTAGGGATCATGTAGGACAGGTTGTTGCCACTCAGATCCAGCTTCTTCAGGCAAGTGGTATGAGGGCTCTGGGACAAGTAGGTGATGTCAGTGTCGAGAAGCCTGCAGTAGCAGATCTCCAGGGAATGCAGTGGAACCCACAGACAGCTGAGGAGAGAAGGGTGGCTGTGTGAGGGTAGGGCCCAGGCCCCCCGCCCAGAACACCTACTTGTCCATGAGGAGGCCAGTCCTATGGCCACCCCCTCATCAGGGAAGCCATTTACCAGCAGGGTCAGAAGCATGTCCTTTGGCGTCCCAAGGCCTGGCTCTCTCTCAACAGACCTACCAGGTCCTCCACGAACCCCTCCAACTCTAAGTTTCTCTTTGGTGAAAGGGAGACTCACATTATCCATACCCAATATGACTGCTGAGAGGAGCCACTTGAAAGAGCTTATCTGATGAGAAGCAACCATAGGCTGAGCCCATTATTCCTCAGGTTTGGGTTTGGGGAAGCTGCTGCTCAGGCTTCCGTTTAAGCCAGGGCCGGGGGTCCTGAATGCCCTATCTGAAAATTTCTAGGAGACGTGCACAGAGTGGATACTGATTGTCCTTCAGAGCTCTGTACCCACCTGTCTGGGGTAGTATGAGCTCAGAAGGAGAGGGCTAACCTGTGCTGTCTCAGGATCTTTTCTTGGGAACCAGTGTAACATTCAGCAGTGCCTGAAAAGGTTTGCTGAGTAAATAAATATATTATTAGGACAGGCGCAATGGCTCACACCTGTAATCCCAGCACTTTGGGGAGCCGAAGTGGGTGGATCACCTGAGGTCTGGAGTTCAAGACCAGTCTGGCCAACATGGTGAAACCCCGTCTCTACTAAAAATGCAAAAATTAGCCAGGTGTGGTGGCCCATGCCTGTAATCCTAGCTACTTGGGAGGCTGAGGCAGGAGAATCACTTGAACCAGGGAGGTGAAGATTACAGTGAGCCGAGATCATGCCACTGCACTCCAGCCTGGGTGACGGAGACTCTGTCTCAAAAAAAAAAAATTAAAAAATTAAATGAAATACATGGAAGCCCATTGTTTTGGACTAAGCTCCTGCACTACACCTCAAAAGACCAGAGCAAACCAGAATGCAGTCACTTGTGCTAAGTGCCAGGTAATCAAACTGAACTTTGAAACTGGTCAGTTTTCCAAAAAACAGGAGATTCACACCAACCAATCAGAAGGGGCCCAGGATGATAAGGAAGTGCCCTCTGTTTTAACCCTATAAGGAAAGTAACTATCAACTGACCAATCTGCTTTTTGTTTTGGCTTTTTTCATCACTTTTCTGCTTATAAAGCCAGTCTCTTCCGCTCAGCTCATCAGAGCTCTTATTCTATTTTACAGAATGGGAGGCTGTCCCAATTTGTGAATCACAAACCTAAGCCAATTAGAAGGCCAGGCATGGAGGCTTATGCCTGTAATCTCAGTGCTTTGGGAGGTGGGAGGATGGCTTGAGGCCAGGAGCTCAAGACCAGCCTGGGCAGCAAAGCAAGACCTTGTCTCTACAAAAAAGTTTTTAAAAAATTTGCAAGGTGTAGTGGTGCGCATCTGTAGTCTTAGCCACTTAGGAGGCTGAGACGGGAGGGTAGCTTGAGCACAGGAGTCTGAGGCTGCGTGAGACGTAATTGTGCCACTGCACTCTAGCCTGGGTGACAAAATGACCCCGTCTCTAAAGAGAAAAAAAAGCCAATTAGATATTTAAATTAAATTTGTCGTAATTTTTTTTGAGACAGGGTCTCGCTCTGTTGCCCAAGCTGGAGTGCAGTGGTGCAATCATGGCTCATTATAGCCTCAAACTCCTGGGCTCAAGCAATCCTCCTGCCTTGGCCTCCTGAGTAGCTGGGACGAAAGGTGCACTACCATGCCCAGCTAATTTTTGTTTTTGTTTTTGTTTTGTTTTTGAGATGGAGTCTTGCTCTGTTGCCCAAGCTGGAGTACAGTGGCGCGATCTTGGCTCACTATAACCTCCACCTCCTGGGTTCAAGAGATTCTCCTGCCTCAGCCTCCCGAGCAGCTGGGATTACAGGCACATGCCATCATGTCTGGCTGATTTTTGTATTTTTAGTAGAGATGGGGTTTCTCCATGCTGGCCAGGCTGGTCTCAAACTCTTTTTTTTTTTTTTTTTTTAGACGGAGTCTCGCTCTGTCGCCCAGGCTGGAGTGCAGTGGCGCAATCTCGGCTCACTGCAAGCTCCGCCTCCCGGGTTCACACCATTCTCCTGCCTCAGCCTCCCGAGTAGCTGGGACTACAGGCGCCCGCCACTGCGCCCGGCTAATTTTTTCTATTTTTAGTAGAGACGGGGTTTCACCATGGTCTCGATCTCCTGACCTTGTGATCCGCCCACCTCGGTCTCCCAAAGTGCTGGGATTACAGGCGTGAGCCACCGCGCCCGGCCTGGTCTCAAACTCTTAACCTCAAGTGATCCACCTGCCTCTGTCTCCCAAAGTGCTGGGATTACAGGCATGAGCCACCGTGCTTGGCCTTAATTTTTGTGTATTTATTTGTAGAAATGTGGTCTCACTTTGTTGCCCAGGCTGGTTTCCAACTCTGGCCTCAAGCAAGCTTCCCACTTCAGCCTCCCAAAGTGGATTTTATTTTTATAGCAACATGCATCTTTCCCCATCAAATATGTTTCCAAAGCAGATCCCAGCCATCAACTGCATCTGAACCCTGGGTTCCCAGGCTGTGCCCACAATTCCATAAGCATCTAAGAATGGGCCCCACTTCCTGTCTTGTTCCCCTGTCCTGACCTCACTTAGGAGTATTCAGGTAACTCTTTGGATGCCCCTGTCCACCCATTCACCTGAGTACATAATGTAGGTTGCCCGAGAGGTAGGAGTAAGACAGGTGCAGCTTCTGGAGGTGGCCCAGCCTGGTGAGCTGCGAGAGGAAGTAGCTGGAGGGCCGCTCGCCCCGTGAGGAGAAGGCCCAGTTGTAGTAGATGAGTTTGAGGCTGCGCAGGTTGAAGATCCTTCCCAGCTGTGTTGCAGATAGGTTTGGATCTGACAATGCCCAGAACCAGTCAAACCAGTCAAACACCTCCAGCTCCTGGATGAAATCCAGCTTGAGCGTCTTCAGGATCCCCAGCAGACTGTGGAAGGGCATCTCCTCAATGTGCAACTTCCTACAGCAGAGATGCAGGGCCCCGTGGCTCTGTTCCACTTTCGTCAGGAGGCTGGAGAGGAACTTATCTAACTTGAAGGGGCCTCGCAGGAAAAGATCAATGTGTATTTCCACTGCTTCCCATGGCTGCTTTGGTCCTTTTTTCATATTCTCTGTTGGCTTGGGCCTGGCCGCGGCCTGGGGCATCTCTGCCTTGACTGTTGATGGTAACCAAAATGGGAACTTAGCCAAGGCTTCAGAAGCCCCTTTACTGTGGACTTGCTCAGAGTCCAGGGTGAAATCCAGCATCCTCAGTTCTGACTTCCTGTGGGGAGACGGGCGTGATGAGATGCTGGGGAGCCCAGGTAAGATGAGCGGCAGCGGTCCTGGGCCGCTCCCCAGACCCCAGTACCAGCCCGCCTCACCTCTCCTCTCTAATGGGCTTTTCCTCCCTCACCCAGGCTCCTTGCCAGCCCCTATTCCTCAGACAGCTCATACCACCACCCCTAGAAGGTAAAAAGCCCTCTCCTTAAAGCCTTGTAGCTGTACCATCAACCACTTAACTCACAAACATAGTTTCCCCACTTATCCCCCGAGGCGATTTAACGCTCCCCTCCCCTGGATCTCAGCTCACCCTCCCTCTGGCTCTGAGCTGAGGTCTTGCTCCCAGCATCCCCCTTACCTGGGACAAGCCCTGTGGGCAGAAAAGGCCTCCAGCCCATCCACCACAGCTTGCAGGCTATCTTGGTTGGGCCACTGCACTATCAGAGAGCCCAGACGGAGAAAGGGGAAGGGCCAGGCCTGCACCAAGGCCTTCAGAGCCTTTCTGTGCCCCTTGGCAAATGCAGCAGTGAGTAGTGGCGGGAAAAGGTTCACTGTGAGCTGTTCCAACACCAGTAGAACTGAAGCCTCATTGCTCAGCAGGCTGTGGGCTGCAAGTTCCAAGAGCCTGAGAGGTGCTGGGTGGTTCACCTCCATGGATCTGGAGCAGAAGAAGGTAGAAATCCTCAGAAGACTAATGGCTCAGCATCGCTCCCAGGCCAACGTGGGAGATGCAAGCCTTTCGCATCTGTCACAGAACCAAATGCTGGCTCCTCCCTCCATTCAGGACCAAAACCCCAACATTCAGGTCTTGTAAGCCTGAGACCCTGAAGCCCTCAGGCCCTGGGGACACGGGATCCAGAACCTCAGGGGTTTAGATCTATTCCTTGCCAGGCTGTAGAGGCTTTGAATTGACCCACACTTTCCTCTTCTGCCTTCACCATTAAGATCATGAACACATAACTAAGGACACTGTCCCCAAACTCCACATTAATTCTCCCAAAGCGTATGTAGATTCTGAGCAGTTCTCATCACTTCCAGTTTTACCAAGCCATTATCTCTTGCCCCCATTACTGCAGTGGCCTTCTAACTTGTCTCTCTGCTTCTGTCCTTGTGTCAAACTCAGATCATGACACTCGTTTGCTCAAAACCCTAGTGGCTTCATTTTCACTGTGAATACAATCTACCCTGCAGCTGCGCCTCAGAGTCTAGCATCCGAGTATCTCAGGGTCCAACCCCTGTCACTCCCCTCACTATTCACTCTGCACCAGCAACCTACACTGGACTGCATTTCTCTCCTCAAACACCAGCAACGCCCTGTTTCAGGGCCTTTGCGCTTCCTGTTTCCTCTGCCTAGAAGTGTCTTCTCCCAAATATCCTCATGGCTGGCCCCCTTACTTCATTCAGGTTTCTGTTAAAATTTCACCCTGAGAGGTCTTCCCTGACCACCCAAGTAGAATAGCACTCCCATCCCTTAATTACAGCTTTATCTTTCCTAACCTGATTTACAGCGCTTCTTCTATCACCCCTTTTCTGTTTCTGTCTCTCTTACACACACACACACATGCACGTGCACACATATAAATGCACACACTCGCATATTATCTGTCTCCTCTCTGCTAAATTATAAGCTCCATGAAAAAAGGGGCTGTGTCTGCTTTCATTACTGCTATAGTCTGAGTGATAAACATAGTTCCTGACATACACCAGACAAGCAGCATATACTTTAAGTGCATTTCAAGAGCAAGTTTGCACAATAGACGCTTACCACAATCCCACTGATAGAGTTGAGGGTAATATGGAATGGAGGATTTTTTTTTTCTATGCTCTCACAGAGCATCAGGTTCAGGTGAGTTATGGATTCTTTCAACTGCCCAAATGCCTCCTTTTTTCCGTGAAATGCGGGAGTGTAGACTCTCGTGAAATGCGAGTGTAGACCCATCCCATCACTTTCCACAGTCCACCACAGAGCAGGGCTTTGTGTAAGGAGGGGAAGTTCTAGACCTGCACTGTCTGATGCGGGAGCCCCAAGCCACATGTGGTTACCGAGTACTTGAAATGTGGCTAGCGTGACTAAAGGACTGAATTTTAAATTAAATTAAATTCTAATTAATTACAATCTAAATAGCTTCACGTAGCTAGATGCTACACTTTTGGACGGCAGAGTTCTAGAATCTATGCTAGTCAGAGACAAGAAACATTCATTTACAGTCTCATAAGCTATGAAATCCATTTGCATGAGGCCACTATGGCCTTGGTAATAAACTGGGCGAGGACAAAGGACAGTATAAGAAAGGACAATTATTGGCCAATCATACATTGGAAGCTACCTAGCAAAGGCTTAAATACTAGCAAATCAAATCAAAGGCCTGACACATTAAATCTATAAATATCTCTCACAAATAGTGATCAAGTACGATTGAGCAAGAATGGTTAATGTTAGGTTTATTAATTATTAATGTCAATGCATTTGGGAAAATCAAAGAAGAAACAGGAGGGAAGCTTCTGAACCTGATACTTAGTAGTGGTGTTTTATAAACATTGCTTTTTTTTTTTTTTGAGACAGAGTCTTGCTCTGTCACCTAGGCTGGAGTGCAGTGGCACAATCTTGGCTCACTGCAAGCTCCGCCTTCTGGGTTCATGCCATTCTCCTGCCTCAGTCTCCCAAGTAGCTAGGACTACAGGCGCCTGCCACCAAGCCCAGCTACTTTTTTGTATTTTTAGTAGAGACGGGGTTTCACTGCATTAGCCAGGATGGTCTTGATCTCCTGACCTCGTGATCTGCCTGCCTCGGCCTCCCAAAGTGCTGGGATTATAGGCGTGAGCCACCGCGCCCAGCCAACATTGCTTTAAAAGTCAGAAACAAGAAGATGGTGTGGCCACCATGAGAGTGTGCCCTGCACCTCCAACTCAGGAAATGCACCTGAGCAAGGGCCTCACCTGCTGCCCTTAGGAATCCCTGGCAGCCTTAAGGCCCAAGTCATACCACCACATGCTGTTCACCAACAATGACTGAGGACAGATCAGTTCCTGGGAGACAATGTGACAGACTAGTTCCTGGGAGACACCACTCCTGTGACAACCACCTTTGGCTTGAGGACTCCCTTATGGCTTTGCCAAATCTTCCTGAGTGTACAAGTTTCCACCCAACCTTCCCTCCAGCTCTGCTTCACCAAACACAGCGATGCAGGTCTGTGGGGTCTCCACGCCTTCCCCGCTCACTCCTCAATGCCCCTTATAGGGAGCTCCCCTAGTAAAATCCTTGGATGTTTTTGCATCTCGGTATCTGCTTCTAGCAGGACTTTGATGGAGTTCAGGATGTGCCTTCCCAAAGTACAGCAACTTGGCATACTGAATATTTTAAGCTGAAGGAATTTGAGAAATGGCATGGGCAGGCAGGATTTTCTGACCCTCCCTTGTAGTAGGTATAAGACCCTCCTGTGAGAGGTGCTCCCCTTATACCAGAAGGAAAGGCATGTCCTTATTTCCAAAGACGAAGGCTTGCCAAGAGGGATCTGAACACTGTTTCGTCACTTTATTAAACTTGGCTCATACTCTCATACTCCTTTTGTCTTATCATATTTCTCCATGACTAATCAAAAAATGGTTTTCTCTCTATATATAAACATACATATATACATATATATAATGTGTGTGTGTGTGAAAGAGACAGAGAGAGAGAGGAGCTGTATCATGGGAAATTTTGTTGATGTTTGAATTAGAAACAAGCATGCACACTATCAACATTGTCTGGGAAAGTTGTAGCCAGTGCAATAAGACACATAACAATGGGGCTGTCTATGGCAATAAAAAGAGGCAAATAATTATGTACATAGTGTAGGAAAAAAGTGGTTTTGTGGCTCAGAATGCCACCCTGAAATATGGCACTTAGAAGGTCTCTCTCTGACTTTTCTCTGCCTTTCTGTGTAAGAGCTAGTCATAAAGGAATTCTCTGACCTTCCTCTCCTGAAAGTAGGTCGTTGGACCCCCGTGTGACAGGTGTCCTGTCCTATACCAGGAGGAAAGAAATGCTACATAGAGGGGCCAAGAAGAATCTGAATGAACAGGCCTTGTTAAGTTCTCCCCAGCTTATTACCATTAGACCACAGGCTTTTTGTCCAATCATACTTGTACATGACTGTCCATCCTTCATCAAACCTAAGCACAGATATATACAGATAGTCAGGTGCAGTGGCATGCACCTGTAGTCCCAGCTACTTCGGAGGCTGAGGCAGAAGGACTGTTTGAGCCCAGGAATTCAAGGGCAGTCTGGGCAATATAGTAAGACTCCAGTCTCTTAAAAAAAAAAATTAAATTAAAAACTAAAGTTCTCCTTGGGTCTTTGAGTCTTCATTTCTGAAGGTTCCTGTTCACGTAAAACTTTGATAAATTTGTTACGGTGTCCTCTTGTTAATCTGCCTTTTAAAAATAGGGGTATCAGCAAAGACCCTTGAGATGGGTGAGGAAAAGCTATGATTTTTTCTCCTCTACAATGGAAAGCAATGGATCCTCTGTAACGTACCCTTCTGGGTTATCAGATTTGAGCCCTGTTCATTATCTTTGAGCTATTTTTTAACTTTATAAGTTATAGGTAACTGATAGACATAGAAATTCTGTCCGGCCTGGTAAGGATTTTCCCCTAACTTCTACCTGTGGAAAATTTTGTCTCCATCTGAAATTCATCTCAACATCCCTTCATGTCATAGAGATGTGTGCTGGCTTAACTCTTCTTTAACAGCTGCCTGGTACTTCATATTATATGAGCAAAATAAATTCTTTTTTTTTTTTTTTTTTTTTTTTTAGACGGAGTCTCGTTCTGTCGCCCAGGCTGGAGTGCAGTGGCCGGATCTCAGCTCACTGCAAGCTCCACCTCCTGGGTTTACGCCATTCTCCTGCCTCAGCCACCTGAGTAGCTGGAACTACAGGCGAGCCCCACCTTGCCCGGCTAGTTTTTTTTTGTATTTTTTAGTAGAGACGGGGTTTCACCATGTTAGCCAGGATGGTCTCCATCTCCTGACCTCATGATCCGCCCGTCTCAGCCTCCCAAAGTGCTGGAATTACAGGCTTGAGCCACCGCGCCCGGCCAATAAATTCTTTAATACATGTTCATTTTTATATCTGTATAAAGTCACAATTCTACTTTTCTGAAAATTATCTTTTAACCATTGAAAGCTAAAAAGGATAAAATAGGAAACAGCTAATATAATTAATAGGAGTATTTCTGCTGATATGACTGCACAAGAGTGCCTGGTATTTCCAGCAAGAACTGAGAAGTAAATGTATAATAGCAGAAGTAATTTAGACATATGAAATAAACCATTTACTCACTTTTTTTCTGTCATCTAGGGATAACAATAAATGTGAAAACAGTATTAAGAATTAAAAAGTTGGCTGGGCACGGTGGCTCATGCCTATAATCCCAGCACTTTGGGAGGCCGAGGCGGGCAGATCACAAGGTCAGGAGATCGAGACCCTCCTGGCTAACACGATGAAACCTGAAACCCCGCATCTACTAAAAATACAAAAAATTAGCCAGGCGTGGTGTCGGGCGCCTATAGTCCCAGCCACTTGGGAGGCTGGGGCAGGAGAATGGTGTGAACCTGGGAGGGAGAGCTTGCAGTGAGCTGAGATTGTGCCACTGCACTCCAGC